CATGTAGGTTGCCAGTGTCTTCAATACTAGCACTCAGAAGGCAGAGACAGGTGAGTCTCGGAGTTTGAGGCCAGCCTGGTCTACAGTGAGGCCAGGACAGCCTCCAAAGCTACAGAGAAACCCTGTCTGCAGAGGTGGGAGGGCAAAAACAACAAAATATAGGCATTTGTCCTGTAAACCAGGACAAATGTAACAGAGGGAGAGATAGGTCTCGATGGCATGTAAGCATGTAAGACTTTCTCTTCCCATTGATTCCTCAGTGAGGAAAAGGGAAGAGTCTTGTGTCTGGGCTTTAAAACTGTTTCTGAATCCCAGCACTCAGGAAGCAGAAACAGAAGGATCACTGAGTCCAGGGCCAACCTAGTCCACAGAACTAGTTCCAGGACAGGTAGGGCTGTTACACAGAGAAACCCTGTCTCACATAAATAAATAAATACATAAATACATAAATAAATAAATCTGTCTGTGCTAAATTGTCACACGTGTCCTGATTCCTGAGTGTGAAAAACTGTAAAACTGCCTCTAATACTATTAATATAAAGCAAGGGTCTTCATTGCTCACAGAAAGCAATTCATATTTTTTCAAATTTGTGTTATAAATATGTATAATTCTGCTTTCCTTACATAAATATTAGCATTTCTCAACCAAGCTTGCTTTTCAAACTTATTTTTAACTAAGTTTTGGTCATGGATGCTTGAGATTTAATGCGGTTTTCATCTACAGGCCAAGTGTAGTTCAGTCCAGTGAGTACAGTCAGTATGTTTCCTTCTCAGCTCCAGCTCCTATGGCCACATCTTCAAGCCTTACAGCAGGGATTCATTCACATAGCAGGAATTTTATTTTGCTGCCCACTGGGTTTCTACTCAACGCCATGCAAACAAATCATCTGGTGATATTCAGTATACTTACCTGTCAGCTTGTTCTTCCAGTAAGGAAGACAATAATCAGTAATGAGAGAAAATCTTTATAATAACATTCCTTTTTCCCTTGCTTGCCTTTTTCTTACTATTTTTAATGTTAACTTTTTAATTTAACTGTATTATCTAAAAAATTACAAGGCTGGGGAGATTGCCCAGTGGTTAAGAGCTCTTACAAGGGACCCATATATTAGTAGTATCCACATGGCAACTCACAACCATCTGTAACTACAGTTCTAGGGGACTCCATGGCTTCTTCTGGACTGGAAGAGCTCCAAGCATGCATATAATGTACAAACATACACACAGGCAAGATACTCATACACATAAGTCAATCTAAAATTTAGAATGTTGCAAACAAACACACACACACATACCAAAACCCTATGCAACTCAGTTTAAGTTTCTATACGACAAAATTTAAAATATTTTACCTGATTTTATTTCAAACTACAGCCATTTGAAAGAGGTCTTAAAAATCATTTTTTTCTTTGGGGGGGGGTGTTAAGACAGGGTTTCTCTGTAGCTTTGGAGCGTATCCTGGCACTCACTCTGTAGACCAGTCTGGCCTCAAACTCAGAGATCTGCCTGCCTCTGGCTCCCAACTGCTGGGACTAAAGGCATGTGCCACTACCATCTGGCCAAAATCATTGATCTCTTAAAGTGCATTCCTCTGTAAAACAGTAACATGACTGCAACACCTACCTCCCAGCCAGCCACAACATGCACCCATCCCGCAAGACATCCGCCCTGGATTCCCAAGTTTACCCAGCATCAAGTCTAGGAGGGAAGACAGGGTCTTTACCTTGTGCCATTCTGTATATTAACAGTTTATTTCCCCCTATGGATCTCAGTTATTTATTTTTACACACATTTTGCTCCTTTAACCTGGTGACAGCAATGTGAAATACCACAGGCCTTTTACTCAGGATTTCTGTAACAAGTCAACCAGGTATAAACAGGGTTTTTTATGTTGATTTGTAAATTTTAGTGAGGGGTGGTTGAGCTGAGATGGAAAATAAAGACAAGTACTACATTTGTGTAATGTTTAATTCCTATCACTTGCCCAATACTGTGCTGTTGGAATATGTCTCAATAAATAGGCTTCAAAAAGAAATTATTGCAGTGTAAAAATAGTTTCCCTGAATTCACATGTGTTTTACTATTCCCAGGTCTCAAAATAGCTTTTAAAATTATTTTTTCAGACTCCTAGAGCCATGTATCCCATATTGCGATAGGATACGTTTCTCTGCCTTGCTCCCTAGAGTGGAGTTGGAAAGAAGAAAAATTGAGACAGCTCGACACCATACTAACCTGACAGAGGCCAAACTGAAATTGACTTTTGCTGCCAGAGAAAAGGGACATGAGGAAATAAAGGGTTGTAAAACAACTGAGCAATTCAGCCTTAGAATAAAGGCCGTAAATAAATTAACAAGCCTGATATATGCATCTAATTAACGACAAAATACCTAAGTGCCTACCATCTTAAACACTGCTGTAGGCACCAGAGACTGTGTAAGAGAACTGATGCTTGCGGGGTTAGCTATGTGGAGAGATCTCCAAGCACACCCCTTCACCATTTCTATAAGCCAGACTTCTCTGGCACCTTTTGTAAACTCACGTAACATACAAAACAGGAATATAATAGTAGTAAAAGGAGGGGGGAATCCTAGATAAAACATATATTCCATATTCCTTTTCCTCCAGGAATATGTTGCAGTTTCCATGGTCTAGCTGTAGTGAGACTGGGGATGCAGTTGGGTAGTGGAGTACCTGCTTACTGTCTTAGCTTCTTTTCCTGTTGCCATGATAAAATCCTGACAAAAACAATTTAAGAGATGTGGATTCTGGCCCACAGTTCAAAGGTACATTTTGATGCCATTGAGGCAGGAGTTGGAAGCCGGAGTTTGAAGCAGCTGGCCACATCTCATAGTTGAAAAGTCAATTACTTGACTCCCTTTCTCTATATAGCCCGGAATCCCATTGAATGGCACCACCCACAGTGGGCAGGTCTTTCCAACTCAATAAATGTAACCATTATCCCACAGGTAGTTCCATCACCCAAGCAAGCCTAGATTCTATTTGGAACCCTAACCATCATACCTAGCAATGTGAGGCCCTACACTTGCTCCTCAGTGACCCCCAAATATACACAATTACAGTAACCCTGCTTCGGTCTACCCAAACACATGTCAAAAATAATGCTCATCTTCAAGACTTCCTGAACCAGTGTGTGTTCTGAAACAAATGCTAAAATATTCAAGTTGTAAGCCCTAGACCAAGTCCTTCATCCACTTGCTTCTTTAGGACAAAGACAGTGCTGGTCAAATAGTTGAGTGCTCAATGTGCAAGCATGAGAACTTGAATTCAAACCCTCAGTACCCACTTAAGGTGACTGCCTGCACACCTGTGAGTTGGAGACAAGAGGATCGATCATTGGTGACTATGGGTCACCAGCCTAGTTCCAGGTTCAGCAAGACTTAGTAACTGGCCAGAAAGGTATGCCTGGAGGGAAGCACTTTCTTATGACTTGGGATGAGGGAAACACTGCATTTTTGTGGGGAAAGCCAAATTGCTTCCACCTCTGAAAACCAAGTGTTTAGGTGGGGCACACTTTTAATTCCAATATTCAGGAGGCAGAAGCAGGTGGGTCTTAGTTGAAGGCAGCCTGGTCTACAAAGTTCTGTGACAGCCAGGGACACACAAACAAGCCCCACCAATGTTTAAAACACAGTGACACATGCCTTTTAATGCTAGCACACAGGAGGCCGACACTAGAGCTGTTTTTGAGGTCAATCTCCACGAGTTTCAGGCCAGGTACATCATTGCCCTCTCTAAAGATAACATGTTACATCATAGACAATGCAATTACACCACAGATAACTTTTGTAACAAAAATTCTATTATAATTAGCAAACATTAATTTAACCTGAGCCTTTAATCCCAGCACTTTGGAGGCAGAAGCAGGCATTTCTGTGAGTTCGAGGCCAGCCTCATCTACAGAGCTGGTACCAAGACAGGCTCCCAAATAAACTGTCTCAAAAAAAAAAAAACCTGTTTAGATCCAGAAGACTACTAAAAATCACAACTGAAGCTAGTATTATGGGAACTAAAACATCCTATTACTTATCTGTGCCCATGCTGGACCACAAGGCCTTTTGTGGAAGGCGAGCACTCATTCATATATGCCCAAGCTTTTTACTTCAAGACTTTTGGGGCAGGATTTCTGCATCAGCTCTGCCTGTCCTGCAACTAGCTCTGTAGATCAGGCTAGTCTCAGAATTGAGAACCAGCTGCCTCTACCTCCTGAATACTGGGATTACTGGCAGGATTTAAGTGTTTCCTCTACCCTACAGCTGGGTTTCCTGATCTTCTAATTCATTAGTACTGTTTACCCATCCTTTCTTACATGGACAAGTCTCACAGCTGACAGCATGCTGTCAATTTTAAATTTTTTACATTAAAAGCCTTCCAAGGCACTTTGTATGGAAGCAAGCTTGTACTATCAAATACTTAATACCAATTAAGTCTCATACAAATAATGCAGTTCAAGAATTCTTTAGCACTAAGCAGTTGCAATTCAACTTCAAGGGACACTAGAAAAGGGTAATTAACTTCAACACATAAGGATGTAAACCATGTTTACTTTTAGCCTCAGGGGTCCTTATGCCCCCAGTCTAAACTCTTTAACCCAAAAATACTCCTTTAACCCCTTCCCCATGCTCTCTCAATTTGATCCCTTTCATGTCATATACGATCTTCAATCTTTGAAGACAGTAAATTCTACAAGCTTTAGGCTGGGAACCTGTGTCTGCTCTCACTGAAGTAACTCAATATAGTCCTGCTCCAAAACTTCCCAGGTCACCGACCCTGTATGAGACCTCCACACTGATAAAACTCCAATGCCTTGGACATCAAGCACCATAGCAGCATTAATTTTAGGTTTATATACTTCCCAATCCCAGTAATAGTCATTATCAAACCAAGACCAAGTAAGTAATTTTTAAAGCATGCTTCTAATTTGCTAGCAACCATCTGCACAAACAGGGACCTTATTTTATAGCAGCAAACAAACGAGAAAAAATGAGCCAAAATTTTTATTTATTCATTTCTTGCACTTGAAGTATTCTTCGATGACATCCTTGGCCTGAGATTCTTTGCCATAGTCCTTAAAAAAAATTAGAAGCAAATTACTTATTATATTAAATTCTGTAACTATAACTGTCAGTTTAAGTGCTTCCCAGCAATTACTGTAGCCATTTTCAGGGACCTTAAAGACTTCAGTTGTCCTTAAGGCTCGTAACATGGCATCACTTTTGCCAGCCTTTCCTAAAATCTCTGCAGAAGCACAGAGATAAGCAGATTAATCAGCTGGCTCAAAGTATGGTTTACATTTAAGAACAGAATGCTATTCTGCTAAGACTTTTTCCTCCCATTAAACACCTCAAAAAAGTAAGACAGACCTACCTTAACCACTACACAACTACAGCCAACCACTTTCCGCGGCTTCCCCTCTCGATCAATTTTACAGAGGCCAACCCATTCCCCTAGCTTCTTGTTGTCATCAACCTACACAAAAACAAAAGCCATTATTAGCAGGGGATACAGCTACTGAAAACGAGAAATCAAGTCTCAAAGGTGGCTGTGTCAGAAGGGTGACATGGCATTTTCCTCATGGCTGTTCAGTAGAGGGAGCCAGTTGTCATCATGTACAGCTCACCGACTGTCATCTTTTGCTCAAAGTAGTGTCAAGACTACTGATACTACTATTGCTCAGGATGTGCAAAAGAAAAGGTTACTTACCTTAATTAGGTTGATCTGGTGCTCAGCACAAAGGGCCTCCACCAACTTGACATACATGGGCTCATCACAATTGGATGCAAGCACACAGAGATGGGCTTGGCGCCTAGAACGCAAAATCCAATGGTGAAACCACACTCATGGCATAAGTTTGGAGTCAAGGCATCTTCACTAAGCATGTACGTGTACCAAACTGCTTACGGCCAGTAACTACTGGAGTTTATTTTCAACCAATTGTACAAACATTGACCCGCTTTTTTTAGTTATCTATCCCTCAGATATCAGTAATTCTTAGCAACTTATTTATTGCATAAGGAAACCACAACCTCTTCATGGTGGCATGTTGTTACCCTTCTAAATGTTTCCAAAAAAAAAAATCAAAGGCAGTATGCTACAACGGTACCTGTGATGTACACTTGTTATTTATACCAAGTTAAAAACCACCCTTCCCACAAAACAGCATGCATAAGCTTAATGACTGAGTATTCCCACGTGCTCCAACAGATCCCTGATTTACGCAGACGCTACAAACAGGCTTAACTCGCAAGTGGCTAACCTCATTTTCTGCCCCTTAACTCATTACCCCCATTAAACTACAGGTTTGTCAGACTGTTTTTTCTCACCCATGAAAGGGGTGAAGGGGTATCCGACAATCAAAGTCATCACTCAAACTCTGTAGTTCCACAAACGCCAACTGCTGCTCATCCCCAGTCCGCACATCAACCCACGCATCCTAAGTGGGCTAGAGAGATCTGAGTTGATACCTTTTCCTAGGTTTCCTGTCGAACGGATGCCACTCAGAACTTTTGTGCTAACAGCATGACCTTCACGCTTGCTTGCCTCGGCTGCAGTTTTTGTTCCGGCTGCAAGAACCCACAGTATTGAGACTGAGACACGTACTTGTCTAAGGCTTTGGCAGCTTCGCGTATGCCACGTGCGAGGCCATCGTGGATGAGGGCGGTCTTGAGCACCTCCTGAAGTGCAGTATTCACGTCCATTACACCTCCAGCAGCAATGCTGAAAAGCAGGGCGAATGGCGTTAGAACCCCCGGCAGACGCTTAGCAGCCCAGCGGCTTCGCATGGAAACCCAGACCCGCGCAGCCCGCAGGAGCCCCACGCCCAGCTCACCCTTCCTCGGCCATGGCGGTGGGTTACGGGTGAGGCCGAATCTTGTACACACTGGAAGACAGAAACAGGAGAAAACGCCTTCGTTAAACCCCAGGGGACACTTAGAACTACAACGCACAGGACAGAGAGCGCTCAGCGTCCGCGCTCACTTCCCACTCACCCCGAGCCTCCGCCTCCGCGCAACCCGGCGGCGGCAGGGGAAAAGACCGCGTGAGGCCGCAGGACGGTATTTAAGCGCCCTTCTGGACGCCTTTGCGCATGTGCGTCTCCTCCCACTAGCGAGGTGGCTCTCGCAGTGCCGGGCCTGAGGAGTTTCTACTTCCGGCTTCAGGAGCGTCCGCGGTAAGGACCCGGCGGGCCTTCCTCGGCTCCAGTTTTCGGCACGCGCAACAGGCAACACCACAGACAGCCCCCAACGCGCGGGCGTGGCCTCCGGAGGCCCCCAGAGCTCTTTCTACGGGATGCGAGAAGGACCAAGAGTCCTGCGCCTGCCTTCGCTGCGTTGAAAAGCTCGTTTTAAAAGTCCTTGCGCGTCTCATTTGCAGTTTTCTCCTGGTGTCACAGTCCGGTGAGGATACCCGAGGACACGCTTTTGTCCCTTGGTCGTAAGCCGCCCTGGGTGTCTGAATTGCAGGCGGGTCGGCTGGTTCTGACCGCAGCCGGTTCCCTCCCGCCCTCGTCCACAGATACTCTGTAATTTGGGAGCGGTCGCGGCCAGTTCTTGTACTTCCCAAGCGGAGACACAGGCTACGTCCCTCCCTGACGGTGTCCCCAAGCCATCAGCTTCCAAAGGCCAGCCCCGAGGATGGGCACAGTGGTCACTGCCCCACTCGGGAATTTCAGAAACTGATGGACTTCCTTCTTAGCTTTTCTAATAAAGGTTTGAGTTTCACCTTTAAAGCCTTACGCTTGCCTGCTTGCCTCTAATTAAAAAAAAAAAAAAAAAAAAAAAAAGGTATGTGATAGGTGGCTGGTTTCTCGGTGCATATTTTCCCAGTATTGTGCTTTTTCTTTTAAAACGTTAGTCCGCCGATATTTTAAAAATGCCTCCATTTTTAAAGATAGTATTTTAGCCAAAGATTAAAATACCAAAATGCCGTCGTGTTGCGGGGTGGAGACGATGTGGAAACGTAGAGAACTTTGGGTTTATGGCAGCATTTATTTGATTGAAAGGGGCTTGAACTAAAAAGTTCCGGGCAGGTTAGTACAGGAAGAGGGTGCAACCTTTTGACTCTTTGGGAAGTGATTTTGAAACATTACATAGTCAGAAAAGAATGGAGTAAGTAAGGTTTAAGTAATTTCCTTAATTTAAAGTTTTTAAAAGTTAACGTGTCAAACTAGACGTATGGTGCAAGCCTTTAATCTCAGCACTTGAGTGTAGAGGCAGGTGAGTACCTGTGCTTTCCAGACCGGCCAGGACAAAAAAAAGAAAAGAGTGATTGTTAAGTCTATTATGTTTCTTTCCCAAAAAGAGTTTCACAGAAGAGACTAAATGGCGAAGATGGAAAATGCAAATGGAGAAAATAATGAGACTTGCATTTATACTAAGCAAAAAGAAAAAAATAGTGCTTTTAGCTTAGTGCCTAAATTTTAGTGCCTTTCCCATCACAGTACAAACCAGTTCAAACTTGATTTCTCTCCAAACCTTTTGATGTTGTCTCTCTACCCTAATAAATGCCATTCAGTCAGCAGTAACCCTTTAGCAATTGGAATTACCCCCTTTAAACCCTGGTTATATAGTCAGTCTAAAGGAAGTCATTAATGGGCACACTTGTGATGAAGATTTTTTGTTTTAAATATAAATTCTCCTACTTTACACTCTAAAGTTAGACTCTCAATTTCAGATATCAGCAAAGGTAGCAAAAATTTTATATAGAGGTTAGTGGTTCTTACCCGGCACATTCTAGCATTTACATAAATATATACAAATATAAACTGGGAAGAGTGCATACAAAACAGTGGGCTGCAGCCCTTTACATGCAGATAGCTACACTTGAAATTTGAGCAACTACCCACCATCCCCAAGATGGTGACCAGGAACAAATTATGAGGGCCTAAGTCCAGGTTGTCATGGAACTTGCTTTGAACTTACAGAGAGCCACCTCTGTCTCTCATCCTGAGTGCTGGGATAAGAGTCTTGTGCCACCACACCTTCCTGAACAGAGCTTTTTCTAAGCATACAAAAGGAACCTGCACATCAACAGGGCCATGAGAATAAAACCATTACTTTGATGAAAACAGTAATGGATAATGATAAGAAAGTTTGTTTAGCATAAATTCATAAATTGCAGCTAATATGCTAGCTTCTTGATTTTACCCTTGCCGTAGAGACCTGTGTTGTTTAGTCCTGAATGTTAAGATACCACAACTTAGAATCACATGAAAAGAAAGCTCCAACTGAAACATTGCCGAGATTAGGTTGGCTTCTGTGAGATGGACTTGCTTGTTAGGTGATGTGGGAAGCCCCAGGCCTCTGTGAGTAGTACAATTCCCTGGGCAGGGCTCCTGAACTGTATAGGACAGGAGAGAGTTAGGTGAGGCAGTGCATTCATTCTTTCCCTTCTGTTCAGTTCTATGAACTATACTATTGAGCTTCAGTTCCTGCCTTGCCTTCCTTCAGAAATCACTGAAACCTAGAACTGTAAGCCAAATCAGGCCCTCTCTCCCCTAAGTTGCTTTGGTCAAGGTGTCTATCACAGCGACAGAAACGAAACTTGAACGAGGCCCTAAGTAACAGTGTCAGTATTCATTCTCTATATTAATTAAGGTGAGCGCATCGTGGCGCAGGCCCAAAACTGTAGTACACCAAAGGTTGTGGCAGGAGGATCTTGAGTTTTACCACTCAAAATCTGAATCCAGTCTGAGCTACCTACTGAGACCCTGTCCCAAAAACTCAAAATAATGATATGATGATGATGGTTTTTTGTTTTTTTGTTTTTTTTTTTTTTTTGTTGTTGTTGTTGTTGTTGTTGTTTGTTTTTGTTTTGTGAAACCAAGACAGAAAAGTTTCTATTCCCAATGTCAGGGGCAGAGAGACAGGAAGCTGATCTTTCATGACAGTGGACTTCAAGGCATTTGCTCTGAATACCTTAGGCATTTGCATAATACCTGTCAGCTGGGATCACTGAGAATTCGAGGGTTGCCCTTCTGATCACAATATGACTGCTCCTGTCTCACTGTGCTAAAAATTGACATAGATGGAAAATATTGCAATTAGACAGGAAAAGAGGAACTGAAATCTAGATTTCGGAATCATCCAAATGTAGATGTGGTTTTCTAGGGCAGGTATAAGAGGAAAAACAAATTACACACAAATGCATTACCTCATCCTGTAGCTCCCTTCCAAGAATGAGAGTCAGCTGCATGCCCCCTTCCGTTGCTAGTCCGGTTCCTTGACTATCTGCCTTAGCAAAGACCCAGTCCTCCTCATGTTAACATTCTTCCCATGTGTGTATGTCTATCTTTGTGTCCAAAGGTTTTCTTTTTGTAAGAATACCAGTTGAGAGCCGGCTGTTAGTGGTGCATGCCTTTAGTCCCAGCACTTGGGAGGCAGAGGCAGGTGGATCTCTGTGAGTTCGAGGCCAGCCTGGACTACTGAGTGAGTTCCAGGACAGGCTCCAAAGCCACACAGAGAAACCCTGTCTCTGAAAAAAATACCAGTTGGGGGAGGAGTGATGAGCAAAGAGGTCAAGAACAGGCTGGAGAAACCCACAGAAACTGCTGACCTAAACAAGGGGGAGCTCATACGTGTGTGTGTGTGTGTGTGTGTGTGTGTGTGTGTGTGTGTGTGTGTGTGTGTATGAATACCAGTCAGTTTAGGGGTCCACCTTGCTCCAGGTGACCTTGTCTTAACTATTAATAAAACTCATTCCATCTGAGGGGCAGAACTTAAGAGCTTTAGATTTTAATTTTGAGGGAACACAGCTCAACAAAGAAGAAAGGGATTAAAAATAGATGCACTAAGAGGACAGATCTTTGATTTGGTTTTTGTTTGTTTGTTTGTGGAGACAGGGTTTCTCTGTATTGCTTTGGAGGCTGCCCTGGAACTAGCTCTGTAGGCCAGTTTGGCAGAGATCCACCCGCCTCTGCCTCTTGAGTGCAGGGACTAAAGGCGTGTGCCACCAACGTCCTGCTGGATCTTTGATTTCGACTGAAAAAAACAAAGAATGTTAGAAAACAAAGAGGACTTGGAATACAGTGTTTGCTGTGCAAGTGTGAGAAAGTGAGTTCAAACCCTCGGGGCTCCTGTACAAGCCAGACACATGGCATAGATGTACGTGATCCCTTATGGGGAGGTGGGGAATGAGTGGTAGAAATGAAGATTCCCCCAGTGCCACTCAGCCTGGCATATGACGCAGGAAAACAAGAAAATGACCCTGTCTCAAACAAGGGGGAAAATGAGTACAACACCCAAGGTTGTCTCCTGACTTACACGGCCATGCCATAGCACATACATGAATGTGCACACACAGAGATGACTTAATAATTTTTGAAGTAAAAAAAAAAAAAGTTAAAAAAAGAAGCAAGGCTTAGTGGTGCACACCTTTAATCCCAGCACTTGAAAAGCAGAGACAGGTGGACCTCTGATTGCCAAGACAGCCAGGGCCACCTGGAGAGACATTGGCTCAAAAACTACGCACCCCCCCCAAAGAAGAAAAAGTAAAAATTGTAAGAAATCGAAAAAGAAATTAGAGCTAGGTAGAGAAGATGGGCTAAGGTACCCAAACTATATTCTATTTGGGTCTCAGGTCAGATGAGTTAAAAACCCCAGCTCACGTTGCGGCTAGCCTCTGACAGGTTATTCATTTTCCAGCAAAAGTGCTGCTAGCGCTATAAGTCTGGAAGAGGTAAGTGAGATGGTGCCTTACAGTGCTTATTTGCCTTGTACAGAACTTCCCGCAAAAATGTATGGGAAGGAATTTGTTCAGATGCAGAATGCTTGCAGAGACAGCATGCCTGAGGTCCTGCTTTCTATTGCTCAGCACCAACTAAGATTGGGAGTGGCCACGGGGCAGTGGTGGTGAACACCTTTAATTTCAGCACTGAGGAGGCCGAGGCAGGCTGATGTGTATGAGCTCAAGGCCAGCCTGGTCTGCAGAGTGACTGTTACACAGAGAAACCCTGTCTCTGGAAGAAAAAAAAAAATTCCCTAAGAATGATAAAAACACACTCCCTGTACTTACGTCCTCTAGGCATAACCCAAAGCTAAAAAGAGCATTTTAAGTGCAGCAGAACCGAGGTGGGAGGGATTCATTACATACAAGAGATCGATAATACACAAAATTCCATAAATTTCTTTGTAGAAATGAAAGGGGACAAATGACGATAAACCCACATTTTGTGAGGGCCAAGAGACAACTTTCTATGTATATTTCTATACTCAACCAGAAAGAAACAAAACAAAAAAGTATTCACCACCAGATGCTACAGGAAAAAAATCCATGAAGAGAAGCGGTAAGGGATAGAAAACTCAGATGTTCCCGAATGACAAGCACGGGAAATGGAAACCATGAGAGTGCACGCAAGAAGTTCCTTTCCCTCTTAGTTACAAAAATGGGGTGGGGGAGGAGGGCAGGGAAGTGGAGAAATCGCCCATTGATTGGGTATTCTTCCAGAGAACTCCGGTTCAATTCCCAGCGTCCACACGGCAGCTCACAACTGTCTCTAACTCCAGTTCCAGGGGATACAAAGTGTTCACACAGACACACACGCAGGGAAAACACCATTGCACATTAAAAAAAAAAATATTAATCTCTTTTGAAAAAAAAGAAGGAAACGAGGTCTTTTAAGGTAAAGGCTATAATATTGCATAATGAACCGTATGTCTTGGTAGTCATAACTCGTAGGACAACTGAAGCCCAAAGGAAGAGAAGGTGAGTCGTGTGTAAAATGACTCATAAAGTTGCAAGGTTATAATGAGGGCAATGTATAAAATTACAGGGTTGCTCAGGAAGTGATGTAATATTACCACTAAGTAGACCAAAAAGTTTAAAGCTGGGTATTATGGTGCCCAGGCAATCCCTGTCCCTACTAAACAATATTTTAAAAAGCTAATGAGCTAGGGAGATCACTTAGTCCGCAAAGTGCCTGTCACATAAGAATGAGGACCACACAGAAGAAGCCAGCTGAGAAGGAGCACACTTGTAATCCCAGTGCTGGGAAGCAGGAATACAAAAGAGATAATAAAATGATGTACTTAAGCTCACTCATGTCTGTACTAACTTTAAATATCAATAGATTATTTGCTTTCACTAAAAGTCAAGATAATCAGGATGAATTTCTCTAAATCCTGTTCTGCCTATAAGGTATTTGTTTTCTTTAAAAATATTTTACATTTATTTATTGTGCATGTTGATGTGTGTGGGCTCAGATTCTTTGGCTTTTGAGTAGAAGACAGAGGATAGCCCAAGGGGATAGTTTTCTCCTGCTATTGTGTGGTCCTGGGTATTGAACTCCAGTCATTCGGGCTTAGCATCAATCACCTTTGTCCACTGCACCATCTCAAACACAATGCAGAAATACCATCTAGTAAAATTCAATACCAATTCACCTTAAAATTTTCCACACCTTGCTGGTCCGTAGTGGTGCCGGCCTTTAATCCCAGCACTTAGGAGGCAGAGACAGGCAGCTCTCTGTGAGTTTGAGGTCAACCTGGTCTACAGAATGAGTTCCAGAACAGCCAAGGCTACACAGAGAAACCCTGTATCAGGGGAAAAAAAAAAAAAAAAACAAACAAACAAAAAACATTTTCCACAAGTTGAGACTAGAATCAAGCATGTTGACCCACTAATTCTGGTTTGCTGAAGCCCATGTTAGACCTCTGCCCTTTAGGAAGTGAGGTTTGTTTTGTTTTTGTTCTACTTTCTTTTTACTAAAAACTTTATAGCAATTTGTTATAGCCATCACAGAAAACTAACACAATAAAATAGAGATGGGCCATGACTCATGGTGATTCAACTTATAATTATTTTAGTTTTAGGATGGTATGAATGGGCAGACAAGATGGCTCCCGAGGTAAAGGCTCTTGCAAGCCGAGGCTGATGATGTCACTTGTAGGAGGAGGGGCTCACGTGGTCAAAGGAGACAACTGACTCCTGAGCATTGTCTTCTGACACCGCCTCCCCCCCACCCCTCACCCCCTACCACGCATGCATGTCCTCCCGATAAATATTTTCTCTTTCAAAGATGGCATAGAAGCAGTACTCCCTCGATAGAAATGGTACCTAGAATTTGGATCTTTTCTGGGCCAGCAATCAGGGCTGAGGCTGGATATTTCCAGATTTTTGTTCTCTTATTCTAGAATGGATCAAAAGCCCACACAGATTGCAAAGCAGTAAGGAAATTTTATTTAAAGCGAAGTGGTAGGGACAAGAGAAGCAGCCACATGAGTGAACACTCAAGGGGCCTGATTATTGTTTGGGGCTTTTTACGGGATTAAAGAGGAGGATTTTGGTTTGTATGTATTACAGTCAGGGTGGAGTCTCTATTTTGATAGATTTAGTCATAAAATAAAATTCCTACTTCATATAGTCCTACCCATAATGCATCTAATGTATTTATTTTAATTTTAGATGTACAAGTGTTTTACCAGTGTATATGTCTGTGTACCACATGCCCACAAGGGGGTCAGATCCCCTGGAACTGGAGTTATAGCTGGAGTCACCATTTGGGTACTAGGAATAGAGTGCCAGTCCTCTAGAAGAGCCAATGATCTTTTTTTTCCCCTAAGAGTTAGTTATTATCTATAGTGTCCTGCATGTATGCCCATAGGCCAGAAGAGGGCACCAGATCTTACTACAATTGGTTGTGAGCCACTATGTGGTTGCTGGGAATTGAACTTGGGACCTGTGGAAGGGCAGCCAGTACTCTTAACTGCTAAGCCATCTCTTCAGCCCAATGCATATATTTTAGTCAGGTACACCTGGTCCTGCATAGGCATGAAGTGGTAAGTAGGGGATTTCCCCCTAGAAGTTCTCTTGAGAGCACAAGTTTACTTATCATGCACGCATTTCAAGCTAGTTCACCCAGGTTAAGAGAAGAGTATGTGTGCAGATTAATGCACAGGGAGGTCCCAGGTTCACAAAACAATGCCGTATATTACTCAAAGAGAGAAGTCTGCAAAGGCCAAGGCAACTCAGGCTGCTAAGCTATGCATGCTTTTATTTATTCTCCCCCCCCCCCCGCCCCCAAGACAAGGTTTCTCTGTGTAGTTTTTGTGCCTGTCCTGGAACTTGCTCTGTAGACCAGGCTGGCTTCAAACTCAGAGAACTGTCCCCCACCCCCAGTACTGGGATTAAAGGTGTGCGCCACCACCCAGGTTTTAATTCTTAAGTAAAAAAACAAGAACTTGAAATCACCTGGTTGAGACCCCAAGAGGCAGTGATAGGTAGACACAAAGCAGGAATACAGCTTTGAAAATTTTATTCCGTGTTTATTCATTTGAGGGACATGCTCAGGACAATGTGGGGGGTTTGGCTCTCTCCTTCTACATGTGGATCCCAGGGACAGAACTTGGGTTGTAGTGCTAGACAGTAAGAATCCTTACCTTCTCAGCCATCTTGCAGGCCCAAGGACTTTTTTTTCAAAATACACACACACACACACACACACACACACACAGACACACACAATGTAAGAATGGCTGCTGATGTGAGAGGGAAATAGGAATGGAGAGGGGAATGGATGTCAACAGAAATGAGGAAATCAGTTAAAAGACTGCTGAGATGGTTAAGAAAAGTTCTAAGACAGAGTCAAAGAAGAGAAAGGAAAGGAGGGAGAAAGGAAGGAAGGAGAGAGGGAGGGAGGGAGGGAAGGAAGGAGAATGGGAGGGAGGGAGAGAAAAACAAATAATAGGACCAGTTTGGGTGACCCAACATCTGCAATTAATATCAGTACAGAAAGTGAGTTTAAAAAAGAATGAAAGAAGCCGGGAGATGGTGGCGTACGCCTTTGATTCCACCACTCGGGAGGCAGAGGCAGGCAGATCTCTGTGAGTTCGAGACCAGCCTGGTCTACAGAGCAAGTTCCAGGACAGGGTCCAAAGCCACAGAGAAGCCCTGTTTCAAAAAAACCAAAACAAGCAAACAAACAAAGGGGAAGAAAGGAAAGGGAGGGAGGAAGGAAGGAAAGAAGGAAGATTGTAAAAGAAATAATTGGAGGAAAATCTTCTGTGGGTAGAGGTTAGGTTGGAATGAGAAGATGGTAAAATGGCTTTGGGGGAACTGGAGAGATGGCTCAGTGGTTAAGAGCACTTACTGCCCTTCCAGGGGACCCAAGTTCAATTCCTAGCACCCATGTGAGGTGGCTCATGATCATTTTAAGTCCATCTCCAGTGGATCCAACAGCCTCCTTTGGAACATACACACAGACCCACACAATAACCCTCCTTCCAGGATCCATGCAGGGCTCACTTTGCTGAAGTACAATCCGTTCCCAACGGTTCCATTGTAGAACTCTTAGCATTGTAGTAAAATATTAATCCTGTCTACCATGTCTGCTAGTAGGTCGGCATGGTGTACAAGAGGTTTCATTCATACTGAAATCACATCGAGTGCAGGAGGCAGGAGTGGGAATCTTCGCCTTGACCTAGATTTCCAAACTTAAGTCCTTCCCAAATAACAAACAAGGGAAAGACCAAGTGAAAAGTAGATTTGTGCTGGGATACTTTGGATGGAAGAAAGGGGACACGAGCTCGCACCTCTTATCACTAGGCGCACACCAGTCTAGGAGCGCATACAAACAAACCTTACGACCCCAGTTGTGGAGACAGAAGAAAAAAGGACCTTGCCAGCCAAAGAGAAACACAACAGATGAGCAAAAAAGTCTCCATAGCCAGCCTTCTGGCCGTTCTCATCCTTCTTGCAAACATTTGTCGGCAGGTGTTGTACAAAGTTTTGTTCACTTCCGTTTCTTCAGTGTCCGTCCTTCAGCGATCACACACACTGTCATTTCCACCCTTTAGGTGCGAGCCTCGTTTTCTTTAAAGGACGCAGGACCTGACTTTCTCCTCTTTTTTTTTTTTTTTTCAGAACCCAGAGATCGGCATGGGCGGGGACCCCAGCTCCGCCCCTGCCCGCCCTCGCGCCCCTCGGTCCCCGGCTCCAGGGATCTGGAAGGGATCATGCACTCGGCTCGGATCTCCACCTCTGGATCGGGAATGCGGAGTCAAGGCCCGGTAGTGCGTCCGCTGCCTGTGCATCCAGTCCGTGGCGATTGAAGCCGGTGTCGCCGGCGAACCGAAGCAGACGCTCATGGACGCAGCGGGATCCCCGGCTCCTGCGGGGACAGGAGGTGACCGTGATCTGCGCAGTCGCTCGCTGCTACTGGCTTCGGGCCTGTCTCTTTAAATAGGATCCAGTAGGCTTAGCTTTCCTTTTTTTTTTTTTTTTCTTTTTTCCTGAGACCAGGGTGGGGCCAGCATTTTCTTTTCTCTGCTTTGGGGACTGCCTGTGCTTATGTGCTATGCTTTTAAAATAGGGGGTTTCAGAATGCCTTCAAATTAACAGTCATCAGGCCTAAAGTGTATTCTTTGGTATTCACTGGCCTTCTCATGTCCCTTCTTCAATCGGGCATTTTTAAAGGATTCTAACACTTCCTCATCTTGTGTAGGAAGGACTTTTCCCTCCTGGCCCACAGTGACTACCCCTGGAAGAACAGCAGATCAAATGCATTTCCTTTTTTGTCCCCTCAGAATCATTTAATTTTAAAATGTTTAAGGAATCTACTTGGACATTTGAAGCTGAGCGATTAATTAGTTCTTTGACAGTTCAAATATGGAAACAAAATACTTAATGAGTTGATTCAAAAGACTAGGAACTAGTGTTGAAAATGACTTGATTATGCCTTGATTTACATATTTGTGAGTCTTGTCTTTCCAGAATGTTAAGTTCACCAATTGAATGATTGGTAATGAGCTAGCATGCCTCAGGTAAAGAGCTAGCATTACCCGTTTAAACAGTCAAGCCCTGGCTGAGTCTATGTAGCTTGTGAAACCAGTAGCTTGAGAAAATGAGATGTCTTTCTTCACAGCCTGAGGCAGCTCACAAAGCTCCCTGGTGCCCATCACTGTAGGGATTTCTGAAAAGGCAGGCACATTGCCCCCTTTCCTTGTACATCAAGGTAGATCAGATGGCTTAGTATTTTCTACACTGAAATTCTAACAGGAGAGTCTATGCATGAAAACCATGTTTCAGATTTGCAGTGATATTCCAGGCTTGTTTTGTGTTAGGTCATACAAGCTGTATTTAGAATAGCCTTTTAGCTCAACAAGTGTTTTCAGAGTCTACTAATTCTACAGTAAAATCTCACAAGTGTGTTTTACCCTGAATCCCAATTACATCCTTGTAATGGCAGTATGTTTGCATTCAAGGTGACGGCTCTAGAGGGAGAACCAGAGAGACATCTGGGAGACTTTCAAGAGAACAGATTTATGTACTGGTGTCAGCCGCATCCATGAACTTGGGTTGCATGATGGCCTATTCCATTCTTGGACCATTTTTCCCCAAGGAGGTAAAACATTTTTATATCTGTACAAACCAAGTTTTAGAAAGTCCTTTAGTTATGTAATTTTAGAGAACATAGAATATACGAATATGGTGGGGGGGGTGGCTTAGCAGTAAAGAGTATGACCTGAGTTTAGTTCCCAGCACCCACATCAAGAAGTTCATAACCATAACTCTAGCTCCGGAGGAGTCTGGTGACTTTGGCCTTTGTGGACATCAGCACTCACATGTAACTATCTCCATATAGACACATAAGTATACACACATAATTAAAATTTTTCAAAATAAATAAAATATAAAACTGTACCTACAGTACAGATAATATATATGTGTGATGCATGATGGGGTGTATACTGTGTGTATGTGTGTGGGGGGAGGTGTTAGTGCATGTGTGCACAGAGGTCAAAGGTCAATGTCAGGCATCTTCATCAAGATATGCTTTTTTTTACTGTACTTGGAGCTCACAAGTTCAGCTAGCCTGGCTAGCCAGCAGGCCCCTGGGATCCTCCTGCCTCCACCTCCCAGGGCTAGCATTACAGGCGAGGCGTGTGCCAGTGTTTTATGTGGATGCTGGGGATCCAGCTTTGGTCTTCCTGGTAACACACAAGCACTCACCCAGAGTCATTCCCCTAATTCCCCTCCTGCCAGGAGCACATTTCTTAGTGTTTATTATCAGGGGGAAAAAGAAAAACAGGCGCATCCTCTTGCTGGGTAATTCTCCTAAAATAGACTTGATTTTCTAAGTATTATGTATTTTACCATGCCCTTTAATTAATCTCTATTTGGTGTCTACAGCTGACAAAAGGAGATTCATCAAAGGAGCAAGATGCCAATACTGCCAAAAGGCTCTAACTCTGTCTTCTGGTGTCGGCATTACATATATTTTAGAATTAGGTTGTTTGTAGCCAAGTGTGATGGCTCATGCCTTTAATCCCAGTAGTCAGAAAGCATAGGTAAGCAGCAGATTGTAGGAGCCTGGTCTATAGTGAGTTCCAGGCAGCCGTGGTCTTATGGTCAGTCTGACTCCAAAGGGGGGTAGTTCAGGATATTCATTCACTCCAGAGGAAGGATTCTGATTAATGTTGCCAGGATCCTCTAATCTTTGTCCTTTACATGATGTTAGGAAGTGTAGCTGGTGGCACAGAGGTTCACCTGGGGTATGGAGTCCATGCATATAATGATATGGATGGAAGGGAACTAGTTTGGGCACATTCAGACACCGTGTCCAAATGTTTCTTTTGTGCATCTTGCCAACATTTTATGTTCACAGCCCACTGACACCTTCTCAGTTCTCAAACCGCCTTGACAGCAAGTAGTCCTTCCTTTGGTTTGCTATCAGGAAGGCTTTTCTCCTAAAGGAACAATGTGGCTCCACACCCAATAACACTCACTGGTTCTCAGCACATGCTCCACCCTTTCATCCACTTGGTGCCTACAACCATCCCATAATGAGAGACAATACTGAGGATCCATCCCATCGTGTCACTTTAAAACAGCAGTCTCCGCGGTGAAGGGCTTCCTAGTTAGTACAATTTCACTGGAGGGTCAAGTTTCTACTCGGGGTTCATTGTGTTGTACATAAATATGCCCAGGGAAAGAAAAGCCAGGAAGTTCCCTGTCTCACTTGTTCATTATGAACCAAAAATATGAGCAAGGGAAGACAGGAGGGAAGGAGGAGAATCGATTGGCTTTGGGTGTCTTTTAGGGTAAAGTGGGCCAGGAGTGATGATACTGAGAAGGGAAGAAGCTTCCCTGTCTTTGGGCAGAATCGAGCCGAGGAAAAAGGTGTAGTACTGAGACTCTTCAGTTAAGTGAGGTGTGTTGTGAGAAATGGTAGCTTCTATGGTAAATAACGGGGGAGGGTGGTCATTACAGATGTGTGCAGGAGAAGAGCACAATGAATGACATATTCTTATGGGACATAAAGAAGACAGCTCACCGGGGCTTAAGCTTAGGGCAGAGTGAGTCATTGATAGAAGGCTGAGGCTCTGAGGGGCAAGTTGGAATGCAAGAACACTGGGATGTATGCCCAGGGCTTGGTCACTGGAAGAGCATCAAAGTGGCTGGGCAGATTTGGGTTTTATGAAAAAATAATGATGGGAGCCCCTAAGGCAGTAGTTCTCAACCTCCCTAATGCTATAATCTTTTAATACAGTTCTTCATGTGGTGGTGACCCACAACCATGAAATTATTTTCGTTGCTACTTCATAACTGTAATCACAAATTGTAATGTCAATATCTGATGTGCAAGATATCTGATATAACACTCCTGCCAAAGGGGTCACGACCCACAGGTTGAGAACCCTGCTCTAAGGTTAAAGAAGGTGTCTTAGTTTGGCTTCCCTTCACTTATTCATTTATTTTATGTGCTCGGGGTTTTGCCTGCACCCTGTACATGCCTGTGCCTGTGGAGGCCAGGAAGAGGGCATCAGATCCCCTGGGACAGGAGTTACAGATGATTTTAAACTGCCGTGTGGATGCTGGGAATTGAACCTGGGTCCTCTGAAAGAGCCAGAGCTCTTAACCCACTGAGCCATCTCTCCAGGCCCCTTAGGGTTTCTATTGTGATGATGAAACGCAATGACCAAAAAGCAAGTTCGGGAGGAAAGAGTTTATTTAGCTTACATTTCCGTACCACTGTTCACCATTGAAGGCAGTCAGGACAGGAGCTTAAATAGAGCAGAAATCTGCCATGCTTTCTTATAGAACCTGCTCAGGGGTGGCCCCACCCACCATGGGCTGGGCCCTTCCCAATTAATCGCTAATTAAGAAAATTCCCTACAGGCCTGCTTATAGCCTGATTCTTGTTTGTTTTGTTTTGTTTCTTGAGATAGGATTTCCCTGTGTAACAGTTCCAGCTGTCCTGAAACTCATTTTGTAGACCAGGCTGGCCTTGAACTCACTGAGATCTGCCTGTCTCTGCCTCCAAAGTGCTGGGATTAAAGACATTTGACACCACCACCCGGTTTATAGTCTGATCTTATTGAGGCATTTTTTTTCAGTTGGAGCTTCCTCCTCTCCAGTGACTCTGGCTCATATCAAGTTGGCATAAAAATGGCCATCACAGAAGGGGGAAACCACAGAAATTTATTCACAACACAGATCACTTTTGTGGCCTCAAAGACACAGTGATGTCTGCCTCCTTTTTCTCTAGCAAGCAAGTAACTCTTCAGCAGCAGACACGGCAGTGGTCTCTAATCTAGGACAACTATGACTCTGTCACTTGGAGATAGCCCTGTCCCAGGACTGTACCCCGCCTCAAACGCCAGCTGCAGACCCCGTATTCTCTAACCTGCTCTTTGTGACTCACTGACTATAAGTTAGGGCTCATACAAACCTTCCTTGGATTCGATTGGTTTGCTTAATTGGCCACAGAACTCAGGAAAATACTTAAAGGTATGGATTTATTATACAACTGCATTGGGTGGCTCGTAGCCCATTAGGGACATCCACATTTACAGCTGTGTAGAAACTCTATGAGCCCTGTGCCTTCGGTGTTTTGTGGATGTGATAGTTTACAGATTGGGTGTAGAAGCCCAGTCAGGCCTGACAGTCCAGGTTCTTTTTGTTGTCTTTATAAAATTCCTCCCCTCAGAGAGTGAGACAGAACCTTCTGGAATGAGAAGAGTCTTATAATCTAATTTGTCAGACAAGCTAGATGAGAGTTACAAGCTAGGAACTAACTCTCTCTCTCTCTGTCTCTGTCTCTGTCTCTCTCTCTCTCTCTCTCTCTCTCTCTCTCTCTCTCTCTCTCTCACACACACACACACACACACACACACACACACAGGTTGGTAAGATGGTTCAGTGGGTAAAAGCACTGAGTTCCTTCCCCTGGACCCATAATGGTAGTAGAGAACTGACCCTGCATGTTGTCTTCTGACTTCCACATGCATGCCCCCAGACACACACACACACACACACACACACACACACACACACACACAGAGTAAATAAAATAACAGTATCTCTTAAAAAACAAAATATGTGTATCATAATATTACAATAAGATGGATACATATAATTTGTTTTGTGTTCCAGATCCTGGCTCATAACTCTCACATAGCTTACTTACATGGGAAGGCATCGAGAAGTTATTTTTCTTAAAATCATGGCTGGAGGGGCTGAGGGGATGACTCAATACATAGGAACACATGTTCCACCAGCATGAGAACCTGAGTTTGATTCTCCAGCCCCTATGTAAAAGGCCAGGCATAGCTGTACACGTCTTGTAACCCAACAGTAGGGGGCAGAGACAGGGAGATCTTAAGGGCTCACTAGCCAGCCTAGTTTAGCCTGATGCAAAGCTGGTTTAGTGAGAGACCCTGTCTGAAGGCGAACAATAGCATAAAATACCAATGTCATGGGGCGGAAGAGATGGCTCAGTGGTTAAGAGCAGGGACTGCTCTTCCAGAGGTCTTGAGTTCAATTGGCTCACAACCACCTTGGATGAGATCTATTGCCCTCTGCTGGCATACAGGCAGGACATACATAATAATACATAATAATGTATACATAATAAACAAACAAACAAAGTCGTTTTAAAAAAGACACTCTGGCCTCCTTATGTGTGCTCCGTTTCAGGCACCTGTACACTCACATGCTTGTGTACTCACGCATGCACATACATACACACGAACTGCAGTTAGAGAAAAAAAAAAGAGGAAATGCAATCATGGCTATTGTAGAGAATACAGTCTTGAAATATGCGTATACATTCACGTTAAAGAGTCACTTACTTTATTTTGTGCATATATGTATGTGTACATGCAGTACCCTCAGAGGTCAGAAGAAGGTAGGTCCCCTGGAGCTGAAGTTATGAGTCGTTGTAAGCCATGCAGGAGCAACAGTTGCTCTGAACTGCTCATCCAGCTGTCCAGGCCCAAGGATGCATTCTGGAGGGTTCTCAGGTACATTCATCTGTGTAAAGCTATTAGACACTGCAGTGAAAGGATGAATCCATACTACTTTTCCAACCATAAGTGTTCCCAGGTAACACACAGCCTGACACAGGCTGTGTAAAAGGTGACAGCCACTCGAGGGTCAGCCTTCACACTCCACTTCATAAAATTTGCTCCTTTTTTGGATACAGCGTCTCCCTATGTAGCTCTGGACAGTGTAATACTTGCTGTGTAGACCAGGCTGACAAACTCAGAGATCCCTCTGCCTCAGCCTCCCAAGTGCTGGGATCAAAGGCATGTATTACCTGTCCCATTAAATGCATATTTTAACTCTTAAATGGATATAGAAATAGCCCAATGTGAGGATCTGAGGCAAGATAGGGAAAATTAAGGAAATATTAGCTTGGCTCTTGTAAAGACATTAGAGTGATCCTCTCTCGAGATGTACACACCCACAGTTGTGTGTACTATCCCTTCCTAAATGCCTCTCTGGATCCCTAAGCCCCACCCCCAATCTAATGTCTATGCTTGATCTGTTTAAAGTATTATAAACTCCATCTGTATGTCATAATAAGCTTCAGCTTTGGTTCATATTAACTTGTCTTGGAATTCTTCCTCTGCAGTACTGGCTGCAGGCTGGGGACACAGCTCAGTGGTCAGTGCTTGTCTAGCACACAAAGCTCTGTCTTTGGTCTCTAGAATCACATAAACAAGTGTGATGGTACATGCCTGTAATCTCAGCACTTGGGAGACAGAGGCAGGACGGTCGGGAGGAATTCAAAGCCAGCCTCAGCTACATAGCAAGTCTTGGGCCAGCCTGGGCTACATTAAACTTTGTCTCGAAAAGTCACAAATATAATAATAATAAGAAGAATCTCAGCTTGGGCTGGAGAGATGGCTCAGAGGTTGAGAGCACTGGCTGCTCTGAGGTTCTGAGTTCAAAATAAATAAACAAATAAATAAAAATCTCAGCTTTAGCTGAGTAGAGGTTTCTGGAAAGTACTTCTCCGGCTGCTAGAGGAGTCACCATGGAGCTCTGTCTTTGGCCACCACCTCACTGGAGCTTACAGGGCAGTCACACTTGCACAGTTTCAAAAGTGACTTTAGGGTCTGGAGAGATGGCTGAGTGGTTAAGAACACTTGCTGTTCTTGCAAGGCCATGAGTTCAGTTCCCAGCACTCACGCAGTGCCTCAGAACTGCTGTAACTCCAGTCCCTGGGGAGCTGTGCCTCTGTAGACTCCTGCAAGAATGTGGTGCACATGCTTACACTCAGGAACACACTCAAAAGTAGATTCAGAGTAAGTGCTAAGTTCAGAGGTCACTGGTGGAACAGGCTATAACCATTAATAGTTATTTCAGGATATGGAGAGTAAAATGCCCATGGGTGTCAGAACCATGTGGACCGTGGGGAGCATCCTTCAGCTACTTTGCTCACGGGGCAGGGGTGGGGTTGCAGGGGTGAGGGAGCAGGGGAGGAGGATGTAGGGAGGCCATGGGGAGGGGCGGGGACAGGAACTCTTCCTGCATTAAGCACAAGGAAGCTACAAAGCAGGGGCAGATTCTCCCGCCTTCATATGACCCAGTTGAAGTGGACCCATATGACTCCACTTGCCAGTTCGGGGCATTTATTCTCCTTCAGGATTTTTGTTTTTGTATATTCTCTTCTGGAACTGACAACTGACAGCTGGCATGTGATTTTTGTTTGTTTGTTTCTGTTTTTGGTGGAGTGCAATTCTGTAACCGGAAGTGATTCTAAAAACGAAGTCTCTTTACTTGGACTGTTTCCTGAGCCCTGTGACAGAGTCCAGTCCAGATTTCTTCATCCAAAGTGTTTTTTTTGTTTATTTGTTTGTTTTGTTTTTATATTCTGTAATACTGACTTTTATCTAGATAAAGGGGATTCTTTGTAGACATACTAAGTGAATTATTTCACATCAGGTCTAGATTTTACCATTTACTCTCCTGTTTTTCCTCACCCTTCTTATTTTAAAATCAATGTCGTAAATACCAGAAATGGGTAGGTTTGCACAGGGAGATAGGGTAGGGTCAGGGCCAACAAAAATTAAGTATGTATGAAAATGTTACAAGGTAAGTTAATGTCCTTTGTATGGACATGGTAGTGTGTCCCCAACCCTTGGAAATCACTATCCGTACATGAAAGTCACAAGGTGACCTTCTCAAAATTAAGTATGTATGAAAATGTTACAAGGTAAGTTAATGTCCTTTGTATGGACATGGTAGTGTGTCCCCAACCCTTGGTCACCGCACCCTCTTGTCTTCCCACCAATGCTGTTTTGTATTTCCAATTTTATTTCTGTCTCTGCTTTTTCTAAGGCAGAAAAGAAGGGAGCCAGCAACACCATGATTGGGATGATCTTTGGGTGCTATGCTTTATTTGAGCTGCTGGCATCTTTAGTGTTTGGAAAATATGTAAGTATTGGTGCTTGTATACATAGTTTTACAATTATTTATTGGTATCTTGTTTGTGCAGATGTGTGAGGGTGTCAGGTCTCCTGGAACTGGAGTTATGGATAGTTGTGATCTGCCATGTGGGTGCTGGGAATTGAACCCTGGCCTTCTGGAAGAACAGTCAGTGCTCTTAACTACTGAACCATCTTTCTGCCCCTCATACACATGTTTTATCAAAAAGCATGTGGTGCATTACTGTAATTTACTAATCTAAAATTTCTATGGAGGTAGAAATGATACCATGACATTTTAATAGATTATGCCACAGTTCTATCCTTGTGGTTGCTTAGTTCCGCCCATGCTTGCGAACAGTTTATATTACAGTTCTTTTAAGTAATTATTTTAATATATTAACTCTGCATGCTTTCCTGCGGTTTTATATGTTCTGATAGAGTGGATTTGTCTATGTAAATGTGGACTTCTTAAAGCAATCAATTTACCTCTCTTCTTTGCCTTTTATTATAGCTTGTACAAATTGGAGCCAAATTTATGTTTATAGCAGGAATGTTTATTTCAGGAGGAGTTACAATTCTCTTTGGGTAAGTAACTTTCTAATGTGTAGAGACGTGGGAGGATCTCATAGTCTGTTGGCTATAATGTTATTGTTACTATATATGTATGATGGGGTGCTGTACATGTGGAGGACAGAGGACAATGCTGGTGTCATTTCTTTCTCTCCACCGTTACATGGATCCTAGGTATTGGATTCAGGTCCCTTAGTGCATGCTGTAATGCAAGCATTCTTACCCACTGAGCCATGCCATTAACCCATTAATGGCTCGTCTTGGTTTGTTTTTGTTTTAGAGTCTCTGTGTAGACTTGGATATCTCTAGATCAGGCGGTCTGGCCTCAGACTCAGAGATCCACCTGCCTCTGCCTTCTGAGCTCTGGGATTAATGGTGAGCCACCACTGCCAGGCTGTTAAATGGCTTTTTAGACCAATCAGTACCAATCACTACTAGACTGTCAAATGAATGACATGTAACTAATGGTGGAAGGAGGTGGGTAGATAGCAAACAGAAATGTTATCTTTTTGTTTGTTTGTTTTTTAAAACAGGGTTTCTCTGTGTAGCTTTGTAGACAAGGTTGGCCTCGAACTCACAGAGATCCTGCTGCCTCTGCCTCCCGAGTGCTGGGACTAAAGGTGTGGGCCACCACCACCCAGAAAATGTTATCTTAAAAGAGAGTTCTCTAAGTTCACCAACTAAACTCCTACTGGACCAGACATGGTGCTGTACACCAGCCTGTGTGGGTTATGCAGGAAGATGCAATCTTAAAACAGCAATAGAGAAAACAGAGCCTCAGCTCCTAAGTGCATCTACTGGTCCTGTGGGCCCTGGTGATGGGAACTAGTAGTCTTCTGAGAAATCTTTAGCTTCCTTCTTTTCTCTCCTCTTCTTGGGCGATGTTCCTAGACAAGCTCCCTGACCCTCCTCCTTTTCCTTTGTTGTTTTTGAGACAGGGTATCATTATGTAGCCATGAGTGGCCTGGAACTTGCTATGTAGACCTGGCTGGCCTTGAACTTATAGAAATCTACCTGCCTCTGCCTCTGCCTCTGAATACTGAGATTAAAGGCATGGCCTTGCATTTTCATATCACTATTACCTAATAACATGTTGTTTACCTACTCTGTTTGTTTGTTTGTTTTTGACTTTTTTTTGAGACAGGGTTTCTCTGTGTAATAGCTCTAGCTATCCTGGAACTCACTCTATAGAGCAGGCTGACCTGGAACTCACAGAGATCCACCTGCTTCAGCCTCCCATGTGCTGGGATTAAAGGTGTGCACCACCACTGCCCGGCAAAAGATTTCTTAAGAGACTTTATCTAATAACTTTGGATAGTATGGCTGTCTTAAGGAAGGAGAGCGAATTAAAAAATTAAAACCATTTTGACACTTGACAGTTGTATTCTTTTTCAGTGTCTTGGACCAACTTCCAGAAGGACCCATATTTATCGTCATGTGTTTTCTGGTGAGAATAGTAGATGCCATAGGCTTTGGTGCAGTGATAACAGCATCGTCTTCTATCCTCGCAAAGGCTTTCCCCAATAATGTGGCTACTGTCTTGGTATGTCATGTGAACTTTTTATTTCGCTTTTTATGAGGCCAAAACATTTGTTTGACCTGTTCTTATAAGCTTTTCCACACTCTCTTGTGTAATGCGTTCCCCTTTGTTGTGATTTCTATTTCCTGCAGTAAAGTGTAAAAATAAAAAGCACAGCATTGCTGGGTGTGGTGACACTTGCCTGTAACCCACTGCTTGGGAAGTGAAGGCTGGAGCATCAAAAGCTTGAGTGAGTCACTGTCTGGAAAACAAAAGCAAACAAGGAAATGATGAGCATCTGAAATGTTTGTCTAATTATTCTTTGTCAATAAAACTTGGGAGTCAGATATAGGAGTAAGAACCTGAAGGACCAGAGAGGCAGTGGAGAAGCAACCAGTGACCTCCTGTCTCTTCTGATCCTCCATCCAGTAGGGCTAAAACCCTCTCTAAGCCCTGCCCTACTACTTCCTGTCTATCTGGCCTCAGTTCTCCAAAACTTCTTTCTGGTTCATTTTGGCTAACTAGTAGCTACCTGCACCCTCTGATTCAAAGCAAAGTTTATTGTCAGAATGTGATCAAAATATCACACAATTCTCTGTGACAATTCTACCACAGGAGGAGAGGATTTGAAAAGCAAGTGAAGCCTAGGATGTTGACTCATGGCTTTAATCTCAGCACTCAGGAGGCAGAGGCAGGTGGATCTCTGTGAGTCTGAGGTCAGACAGGTGCACACAAGTGCCAGGCCAGCCAGTGCTACACAGCGAGACCCTGTATGCAAAGAAGAAAACAAGAAGACAGTGATCTCCAGTGTCTCCTACGTGCTCTTCCTGGTCTCTACATTGGCACCTTGATGAGTAAACATGGTCCAACCATTTTTAAAATATCACCCTTAAAATAATTTTGAAGATTTGTTCTCTTTTTCCCCTTTTTATATTTAAATTTGAAACTAGCATTTTGCTGTCTCCCTGTCTCCCTAGTAGATCCTAGCTGAACTGCCCATAGCTTTCCTCTCCTCTACAAGTTTTCCCTCACGACAGATGCTTATCTGTTGTGCATCTTTCCTTTACTTTCCCTAGAAGTGTGCCAGAGATCTCAGGGGTCATCTTGAAAGTGGTCAAAGCACTCTGTCTTGTCTGAGGAATGCCATCTAATTTTGACTTTACTGACTACCATGTGTGTCAGCTTGACCATGGGCCAACTTTTTCCATATAAAACTTATTGACCTTTTAAAGAGTTGGTGTTCTGTAGAACACTCCGGACAGTGCTTGCTGTCCAGGAGATTCCTATGACGGTGGCAGTCATCCTCAGACATTTGAGATCAGCAGGAGAAAGTAGATTTGACCTCCCAATCTCCCACATAAAGATGCAGCCAAATCCTACACATTCCATATGTTAGTTAATCATGATGGCTCTGTGCACTCCGTGGATCTTAAGACTTGAAGATTGTAAATCATGGGTGTATTTTAAAGATTTAAAATGGTATAATTCCCTAAAGAGTAAAATTCTTTTCCATAGGACCCCCTTGTTTAACTTATGCAGAATAAAATTAAAAAGTTACAAAGTGGAGTATAGAAAATAGTAAATGTTTGACATTTACCATAGCTGTTCTGACTTCACATACACAGGTGCTGTTCAGGCACCCAGTGCTCTAGCTGCCCCAAGAGGGCAGCCAAGTATCTCAGGCTTTCCCCAAAATTACATATCTATGAGTACACACACACACATATAAGCATATGGGGTGGCAACATGATTCCCCCTTCTTTTCTTTACCCATATGTTGGCATACTCTTCACACCATTTAACGACTTGCTGATTATACTGACAAGTTCACACTCGAGGTCTTTTCTATCTACTTATAAAAACGTTCTTATACTTTCTTTATTGGCTGTGTCCAATTGCACTGTGTAGATATATAGATATAACCTATTTTATCTAATTGTTAGTTAGCATTGAAGTCATTTGCATCTCTTTGTTTGCTTGTTTGTTCAGAACAGGGACTCCAATAGTTCAAGCTGACTAGAACTCTCAAAAGTTGACCTTGAACTCCTGGTCTTGCTGCCTGCATCTTTCTCCTGGGTGCTGGGATTACACCAAGTGTCTGTCACCATACCTAGCTTGACATTGCAAACAGTGCCACCAGGTCAATGTCTAAACAAACGTGTGTGTGTGTGTGTGTGTGTGTGTGTGTGTAAAACAACCTTTTATTAAAAATAGTACTCATAATTCTTTTTTATTTATTTTTTAGAATTTCATATGAGAGCAATATTTACATAATTTCTACCATGCTCTCCTCTGTAATTACTGGTGTGTTTGTGTATGTGTGTGCGCGCGCGTGCGTGTGTGTTTATGTATTTGTATGTGTATGTGTATATGTATATGTACGTTTGTGTATGTTTTTGTGTGTATGAATACAGCCTCAACCAACTGAATTCATTTAGTGTTGCTGGATTGGATAATCTACTTATGGGGGGGGGTGCTTACCTCTGGAGAAAACTGATTCTGGATCTCTCAGGAGCCATTGATTGCCTTCATCTGGGGATAAAGCTCTGTAAAATTTCTCTGTTCATGTGACATGTCAGACAGTGTAGCTGTTGCTTGTTTTGTTTAGGTGACTGTAGCCTTGAGACTTCCTGGATGCAGCCCTCTGTCATGTGTAGAGGACACTGTCTCACAGCAGGCGTCCTGGGGCTCTGGCTCCTGCAATCTTTCAGCTCCGCATTCTTGGCTGTCCCCTGAGGCTGAGGCATAGGGCTGTGGGGCAGATGTGTCAGTTGGTATTGAGCACCCTGTGGTCAGCTGACCAGTTGTAGACCTTCGTAATGGTCTCCATCAGCTGCACAGAAGCCTCTTTGGTAAAGGGTGGCAGCTACTTTTACCTGTGGATATAATGATACATATTTTGAATGTGGTTACAACTTATACTTGTTTGGGAAAACGGTCTCCTCTAGCGACCATGACCTCACCAGCCACAGGGAGGCCAGGTTTACAGTCCTGGGCATTTTGAGACAGGACTTTCCTATGTCACCCTGACTGGCAGGGAACTCACAGAGATCCACCTGCCTCTGCTCCCAATGCCATTATGCCCGACATTCATAATTCTTCAGCTATAATACATTAACGAAATTTTCTCTTGCTTCTTCATTTTTAGGGAAGCCTTGAGGTTTTTTCTGGACTAGGGCTGATAGCAGGTCCACCTTTAGGTGGCTTTTTGTATCAATCCTTTGGCTATGAGGTGCCTTTTATCCTTCTGGGGTGCATAGTCCTGCTGATGATACCACTCAACCTATGTATTTTGCCTAGTTATGGTAAGTTCAAACTTAATACTCATTTTATAATTTTGAGTTTACTTTAATGTTATTGTAAAGGATACATTTACCATATATTTTGTGTAACACCTCTTTGTAGCATCTTCAAACTGGTTGTTTCCTAAAATATGGGTAAGTAGTTCATGATAGTTTTTGCTTACAGAGGACTAAGAACATAGTTCAATTAGTAGAGTGTCTTTCTCTCATTCACGAAGTCCTAGGTTCTAGCTCCACAGAAGCAGAGGACACTGGGGCATGTTTTTAAAGCATCCTCAGCTACATTGTGAGTTTGAGGCCAGCTTGGGATGCATGAGGCTCTCTCTTGAATAAATAAAATAAAAAGGCATATCACAAAATTTCCAGATTTTAGGAGAAACAAATACTTAATTTACAGGCCATTATCTTTGGGCTGAACTAAATCTTCACCAGAAATTTCTGTGGGCAACACAGTTTGTCTACAAGGCTGAAAAAGCAAGAGAAGATTCCCACAAGTTCTAGGCCAGCTTTGTTTTCATTATTTATTTATTTGTACTGAGGTCTCTCTACATAGTCTTATGTATACAGACTTTCCTTTGGAACTCTGGCTCACTTACTATTAATTGTGAAAGCTTGGCTGATAGCTCAGGCTTGTTCCTAACTCACTCTTACAACTTAAATTAACTTTTTGTCTCATGGCTTTATTACCTCATCTCTGTACTGCCCATCCTGTTTGCTCTTTGTCTCTGGTCTTCTTCTTCCCAATGTCCTCTATGCCTGTAAATCTTGTATAGCTACTGGCTGTTCAGCTTTTTACTAAACCAACCACAGAGACATGTCTTCACACAGTATAAAGGAATATTCCACAACAGCTCTGGTTATCCAGCAACTCACTATGTAGCCCAGGCTGGCCTTGAACTCACAGAGATCCTCTGCCTCTACCACTCCCAACTCTAGGCCAGCTTTGTGTACACAGGGAAGGCCAGGCCATCTGGGGCACAGAGTGAGACAATGAGTCATTCTGTCATAAAACATTCAATATAGGAGGAAAAGGCCAGTTCTTCCTCCCCAGCCTGCCTTCCACCTGCTCATGTAGCAGTAACAGTGACAAGGTCTCTGGCAGCAGTGATGGAAGTCAATCTGAGTTCAAAGCTTCCCTCCCCATAGAGAGCAACTTCCTCTCTGACACTGTATGTGTATTGTCGTGAGGGCGACACACGCTGGTAAAAGTTAATCAGTGCAGGGAGCACGGGACACCTTGCCCCCTTTAGGTACGTAGTGGCTCATTCGTAATTTCCTTTGTCCAGATGAAATGTACTAACCAGGGTTATATTCATTGCAAGCATCGTTTTTGTAGGGTTAATCAACATTGTGCACTTACCAGATTAGTATATAACAGAGCTAGAGAATTAGCAAGACAGCCGGGCTACAGAGAGCAAAGTCAGAGAGGCAATACCACATTGAACCACAAGGTGGTGCTTACCTTCTCTGCGCGCCTAAGGAACCCTTTCTTTCCCCTAGGTTTAGCATCCTAAGCTGTGTCCTGGTATGATGGATATTAGACTGAGAATTAAGAAGTAGTCAGGCCGGGCATTGGTGGCGCACACCATTAATCCTAGCACTCGAGAGGCAGAGGCAGGCAGATCCCTGTGAGTTCGAGGCCAGTCTACAGAGTGAGTTCCAGGACAGGCTCCAAAGCAATACAGAGAAACCCTGTCTTAAAAACAAAACAAACAAACAAACAGAAGTAGTCACCAGCAGTCCTGGAGAGATGTAGTCACCAGCAGTCCTGGAGAGATGGCTTAGTGGATAAGAGGACTAGCCACTTCCGCACAGGAGCTGGGTTCAATTCCCAGCACTTACATGGTGACTCACGAACATCCTCGGTTTTAGGGGATCCAATGCCCTGGCATACATGTGGTGTGCATAGATACATGCAGGCAAAACACACATAAAATGAATAAATCTAATAAAGAAAAAAAAAAGAAACAGCAGGTCAGATTCTAATAATGCAGCACAAAAAAATTTATTACACTAGGAAAGGGGAAAAGGGGAAAAGACAGTAGAGACAGACCATCTAAAATTTTTTAAAAAAGAATTTAAAAAAAATCCCTAAGGTTTTCAGATCTGAGTAGACCTATTTAAGAGTATTCTTTAAGTTATTGAAAGTTGTTTTTAAAGATTTATTATTTATTTTAAAGATTTAGTATGTATGTATGTATGTATGTATGTATGTATGTATGTATGTATGTATGTATGTATGCCTGCTTGTTGAAGAGGGCACCAGATCTCATTACAGATTGTTGCCAGCCATTATGTGGTTGCTGGGAATTGAACTCAGGACCTCTGAAAGAGCAGCCAGTGCTCTTAACCACCACGCCTCATTACTGAAAATTTTAATGCAGACAATACCTAGGAAAGGTACCAAATTTTCTTTTGACATATTGGCCGGATTAGGCACTTTTGAACTCTGTGCATCCCTTCAGTACCATGGCCAGGGTTTGGTGTTGTGCTAGGAGCCCTTGTCGCTCAGACTTCAGATCTGGTCTCCAGTTTCCGCCTGCTGTTGTGCTGTTAACAGTCATGTGCATGCCGCACCTCTCATCAAAACCCTAAGTCCGAGAACCGGAAGAGGTCCGCTTTACGTCACGGTGACAGACAGGTCTGTGTTATCACATGTAGTCCCACCTTCCTCGTGGGTCACATGCTACAAGACTGGCACTTGTGCCTGGAACCAGGAAGAGCACCCCCCCCACACTGTGTTTTTGCGTACCTAATAAAGTTTAATTTAAAATTAGGCACAGTTAAGAGGGGCTGAAGTGATTTCTCAGTTAAGAGTACTGGGTGCTCTTGCAGAGGACCAGGGTTCAAGTCCCAACACCCACATGGTGGGTCACAACCATCTGCAACTCTGGTCAGGACAGAGCATCCTCTTCTGGCCTCCACAACACCAAGAACACATAGTAGCCACATAGCACAGACATGCACACAGGCAAAACACCACACACATACATAAAATAAATAAATAGTTCGTAAAACCACAGCAGCAATAATAATGAAGTTATGATACAAGTATACTACTATAATTAAAGTTATTTAAAACTTAGAAATTCTTTATTTCTGGAATTTTCTATTCACTTTATTTATTCACTATTTTGGTTTTTTGAGACAGGGTTTTTCTATGTAGCCCTGGTCATCCTGGACCAGGCTGGTCTCGAATTCAGTGATTCACCAGCCTCTGCTGGGATTAAAGCATATGCTACCATTGCCTGACTGTTAATTATTTTACATAGCATTGTTGACAGTGCGGAAATAAAATCTTAGAGAGCAAAGCTATTGTACTTGAAAATTACTAAGGGAGTAGATTATAAATGTTCTCACAACAACAAAAAAATGACAAATATGTGAGTTAAGGTATGATGCATTTATTAAATACTTGGATTTACTCATTCTACTACATACACATGCACATATATGTACAAACATCAGTGTCATTCACTACTGATAAACATAATTTTTATTTGTAAATGAAAACAATTTTTTTCTGAGCCAGGGTCTTGCTGTGTAGCACCCCCCCACACACACACAAACTGGCTCTCCTGTCTCTGCCTGTAGCATGATAGAATTGCAGACAAACTCAAAACACAATCCTTTTTTATTCTGTTTTATTATTATTATTTGAAACAGGGTTTCCCTTTGTAACTTTGGAGGCTGTCCTGGAACTAGCTCTTATAGACCAGGCTGGTCTCGAACTCATAGAGACCCGCCTGCCTTTGCCTCCTGAGTCCTGGGATTAAAGGTCTGTGCCACCACCAACGCCTGCAAAAATATAATCTTTATATCCCGAAAGCTTATTGGGCTGATGCAGAGTTGTCACGTGGTGTGGACTCTGCTGTCTTCCTTCCTTCTGCTGATTCAGCCTGTGGCAGGTGTTGGTGACCAGGGAGTTCTGTCTCTCAAGGAGAATGACCATACCACAGTGGGGAGGAAACATGGGGACACCCAAGTACCCTTGAAACACTGTAGATTTTTCTGTTTTACCCAGCAGTTTTCACTGAAACCAGCGAAGTATTCCTCTTCGTAAGATATACATATATATATATATATATATATATACATACATACATATATATATACATACACATGCGCACACACACACTTTTATCTAAACATAAACTTCCTTCCTTATTTTATTTGATGTGTATAAGTGTTTTGCCTGTGTGTATGTCTTCGCACAGTGCGCCTCATTGGGAGCTTGGAGCATAGCATGAAAGACATTGTGCCTGTAGATCTCCAGAGAAACCAGGGATGCTAAGCATACAGGACTCTCTTTCCAGTGGGAAAGCTGATAAACCTGTTCTTCCATCCAGAAAGCTGAGAATTGGAAGTGATTAACAGCCAGGTGATCTCCCTTATCTGTTGGGGCAGGCCATATCAAGCTCTTACAACCAGGCTAGAGGTGGTTAATACTCTAAATGAACCTTATAAACACGGGCTCCTCCAAGCTCTCACAACCAGACCAAAGGTGGCTAATAGCCCAAATCACCTCTATGCTATTTGTAAGACTAAGACCAGGCCAGACCCTTAGGCCATTAAGCTAGTCCAGGCAGTGTACCTCTAGAACCCATCTTCTTGGAAGAAATGGCATGTACCCTGAGTTGAGTGTCAGTGTAATTACACTTCCTTTGCACCAGGAATTGTATTCCACCAGGAAACTTCTTTCCAAAACATGCTAGGCTTAAATATCCTGGGAATTAACCACCTGATATTAGATGTGTTCAATTAATTCAAAATCCTCTCCCGATTGACTTCCTGATGGCAATATGTCGTTTTGCCACAAGGTGGCGCATGTTCCCTCTCTAAACCGAAATACAAACTGCGGTTTGGGGGTCGAATATAGGACCATTATTTTGAGTAACCGGCTGATAGTCTTGACTTATTCTCTGTATTCTGAAAACTTCCTGAGAATATTTCCGAAAGTAGCAGAAGTTCGTACACTCTGAATTTTTGGACTTTGCATTCGCATGGTCATTGTTGTGAATGGTGATTAATGATTATGGGCGAAACGGGTCTGTGAGGGCTGATCCCGAACCCCAGTTCCATGTTCACATCCCGTGTTATCTCTGTACAGGATCACACTAATCAGTTCTAACTAAGCTCCCGAAACGCGGCAGACAGGAGTCTGTGTGAGCTGTGCTTTGTGCAATCCCTAGTGATTTCTCAGACTCCATAATGTATTCTAAGAGCCACACAGTCTCAGCATCCTTTTTCAAAGTGATTTTTTTTTTCTTAAATAATATGCCTTGAGGAGGGTGCGAGGGACGGCTGCGTGGTTTACAGCACTTCCTGGTCTTCCCGGGACCCGAGAGAATAATCACGGCTGGAGGATTACAGGTAGCCATGCCTGATATTCAAATAGACAGGAACATGGGGCTACTGACCGTAAGCAGGATGAGCAAAGTAATCTTAAATGATAAAAGTCATTCACACGGATTCAGTAACACCGCTTTTCAGTCTCAATGTCGTGTTTAGTTTCCCCCAGAAAAATAACTGGGTCTTAAAAAGCAAAATGTGAGTCCCTCTTTTTTGGGTTGGGAGGGAGTTGTTTTTATTATTTTATTTTTCGACACAGCCCTGGCTGTCCTAGAACTCGCTCTGTAGACCAGGCTGGACTTGAACTCATAGATCTACCTGCCTCGGCCTCCCGAGTGCTGGTATTGAAGACCTGTGCCACCACCCAGGAGTCCCCTCTTAAGCACACACACATCCTCGGTGAAGCTGGGATGCCGCTTTTCCTGCAACTGTGAACCCTGCTGTACCATCCAGACGGCCTTCCTTCCAGATTGCTTCTTAAAAACCTCCCAACACAGCCTGACTCCTGATTGTATTGTATTTGAGAAGTTATGGATTGTTTTTAAATTTGGGACATTGCTGTTTGTGTTTTGAGATGAGTTTTGTGTAGCTCAGGCTGACCTCAGACTCACTGTAGCCAAGCATGAGTTTGAATTCCTGATCTTCCTGCTTTTACCTCCCAAGCGCTGAGAAGGCAGACAGACACAGCCATGCCAAGATAAAACTCAGTCTTTTAAATAAAACCAATCATGCCTTCTAAAGTTTAAGAACTTAGAAGCTAATGTAGACGATAATATTTGATTTTAGGCAATTCAGAGGTGCAAGTATTTTTACTACCAGATTGTTTTATTAGCTTTGCCTCCAAAGTAAAAGATGAAGCGAAGAGATGCTGATCGCTATGATGCATTTCTGTTTTTATTTTTAACCCCAAGAGTCGGATCCAGGTGAACACTCCTTCTGGAAACTTGTCTCGCTACCCAAGGTCGGTCTCATAGCCTCCGTTATCATCTCCCTCAGCTCTTGCTTTGGCTTCCTCGATCCAATCCTCTCTCTCTTCGTCTTGGAGAAGGTAAACAGCCTGCTGGAACTCTGCCTTGTACAGGTGGTCATAATTATGTGCCTTTGGGCTCTTTCTTTGGGGAAAGACCTGTCAGCTGTGAGAAGGAAGTTGCCGGGGAAATGTCAGGTGCCGTGTCTTCCCTCAGAGGCATTCCTTTGAGTTGGGGACGTGTTCTGTGATCTGGGGGTCTGATCCACCAGGAGGGAAGAGAGAATCTTCCTCTAGTGTCCAGGGCATTGTCTCCTACCCGAGACCTTGTTCACACCATTCCAAGTTTACAAGGGCATCCCCCCATGTTGCTTCACCATGACGTTTTCTCTTCCTGTGTGAGTTGTAATGAGGCAGCAGGAACATCCTAAGGTCTTTTGATGTGAGCTATCCTTCTCTCCCTAATGCCCTCTGGGTCCACTTACTTTTTAGCTATTTGTTATAATCAGATGACTATGTTCTATATAACAGAGTAGGAGAAAGGAACCAACACTCATGCTGAAACATGAGTGTTGAATTCATATTACTTTGCTTTTCCCTGTGACACAACCCCCCCACCCCTCACCCCCGCATGTGCATGCGCGCGCGCACACACACACACACACACACACACACACACACACACACAGAAACCAAACCTCGGGCTAGGATCCAAGAGCATCACTTAATAAGCTCTGTGTATGAATCTTGGTATACATAAAATATGTATATACTATATATAAAAATGCAATTTGTAGAAACCAAATTGTATGTTCAATATCAATTGTTACAAAATCAAACTTCTAGGATGTCTAATAAGTGGCTGGAATATTTTTACCTCTTGGGGGGAGAAAAAAAACCTTCTTACAAAGCAAGAAAAAGTTAAGAGGAATTTGATGTAAGCTAGTCTTGATTGTTAACTTTATTGGATGGAAACGTGCCCAGGAAGGACAGTACTGACAAAACAGAGACTGCGCTAACTGTGGCCACTACCATTCCACGGAGGCTGGGGATGGGATGAGAAAAGGGAGAATGGAGAGAGCCGGTTAACACAGGCATCCTCTCCCTGCTTCCTGGCCACTGTCGTGTAAGCGCTCTGCTCTCCCAGTATTCCCCCCCCCCCCCCGCCCCCACGCTCTGAATCCACGAGCCAAAATAAAGAACCCTCCTTTACAGTTTTCCCTCCGGTATGTCAGTCACAGCTACGGACAGCGAAACAACACAAATACTGGGTGTTACTGATAGACTTCTGTTAACAGAGCTGGAGAAGAGAGGAGAGAAAGGGGTGTGTTTATTTTAAAGAGAGGCATAACATGCTGGTTTTTGTTTTGGGGTTTTTTTTGGGGGGGGTGTTTATGGCAGGGTTTCTCTGTCACTTTAGAGGCTGTCCTGGAACTAGCTCTTGTAGGCCAGGCTGGTCTCGAACTCACAGAGATCCACCTGCCTCTGCCTCCCGAGTGCTGGGATTAAAGGCGTGAGCCACCAACGCCCGGCATAACATGCTGTTTTAACATGTGATTTCTTTCCAGTTCAACTTGCCAGCTGGATACGTGGGACTGGTCTTCCTGGGTCTAGCTCTATCCTATACCATTTCGTCACCGCTGTTTGGTTTCCTCAGTGATAGAATGCCTGTATGTATACTGACTTATATTTGAGTTGTTTTCTTTGTTTAGATCTGTAGCTACTTCTCCACAATTCTAAATGTCGCTTGCTTAAAGTGGACTCAGTCACTTGGCCTGGTAGAGAGAGTTCAGGCTTTCCCAGGGGCCTTCATTGCTCATCTCACCGTCTTGCAAAATATCCTCCTTGCCCTTTTAAGTTTATCATCTGCCAATTTTCTCTTCAGTATAAAGTTTCATTTGCTTCAATGGATTTGGATTTGTAGATGTCGTTACTCTAGTTATTTTTATATTGATTGATTATGGAGGTCCTTGGTTTCAGCTTTACTCTCTTTCTCTTTACCAGAATCTAAGGAAATGGTTTCTGGTTTTTGGAAACTTAATCACAGCTGGGTGCTACATGCTCTTAGGACCTGTCCCCATTTTGCACATTAAAAGGTAACTCTCCTTGTTCTGTGTTGTTGGAGAAATAATACCAGTAAGTATTTAATTTTTTAAAGGTGGCATTAGTACTGCAACCCTTGCTGTTTAAACAATGACTTTGACTTAGGATTGTATTGAACAATTTGGCTGGCAGCGCTTTATTTACTAGAAGCTGGCAGTAGCTTTGCAAATCTTAACACATGAAGTATTTCTCCAATGAGAAGAATGTTGATTCTTATCTATAAGGTGTTTGTTTTGTTCCGTTAGCTGAGGCTAACTTTAAACTCATGGTCTTCCGGACTCCACCTCTCAAGTGCCAGGATTGAAGCTTGCAGCACATTACCTGGTCTTCTGAGTTTCCACTGCACCATTGTTATTTGGAATTATTTGCAGAATGGCATTCGTTGCTAACAACCTCGACTTCATACTTACGAGAATGCAATTTCGTTTTTCTGATTCTTCCTTCTCATTCATCAAGAGGGGAGGCGTTCACTGTTTCAGTGTTATCCTCAGCATGCAGTACTTGCCCATTAAAGCTTATTGGCTGTAACTTACCTATTGAAACTAAGTGAGCTTCTTGGAATTTCCCCCATACTTCCGGGATAAAACACAGCATCACAGGAACAGGGCGATTGCGGAGTTGTTCGGATCTGGGCTTGAATTTTGGTTCTGTCACTGGTAGTTGAACTCCAGTGAATTACTTAACTACTAAAGAGCCTAAACTTTCTTGTCTATAAAAAGAAATGAGGTCCAGCAACATGGTCAGCACACTAAGATATTTACTGCCAAGCCTGGAAACTCAAGTTAAAACTCCAGGCGCTGCATGGTAGAAGGAGAGAAGAGATTTGTGGGTGCTGTCCAACTTCTCTCTCCACACACACACACACACACACACACACACACAGCCATACCTCCCCTCCAAAATAAATAAATGTCATCTTAAAGGGAACTAAAGAAAACACATACATTCAGGATTAGATGGAGCCCTGCATAGAATAACTGTCAGTTTCTAGTCTCTTCCTGTGCCCCCTCCCTTCTTTGCCATTGTTTAGTTGAATTTCAAGATGAAATGATTAGATGAACAACAGCTTTGATGATGAGAGGATTTTGTTACGGCGGGTGGGCCGGCTGGTTACACGTGTAATATGTATGACTAAACAAATACATATGAAATGTGGGACCAGTAGTGATGTCAGAGGATGCAGGAGTTGCTTTCGCTGCAGAGGTGGGAGGTACTAACATGATCTCTGACTGAATGGAATGGGACACGGTGAAAATATGAGTGAAACAAGTCAACTATCAGTGATGCTAACATCTCTGCGATCCTGCCCTCCTTGGTTTTAAGTTTGCGTCTCTTAAAATACTAATGCTTTCATCTCCTCCATGATGCCTCTGCAGTCAGCTCTGGCTCCTGGTGCTGGTGCTAGTTGTAAATGGCTTCTCTGCTGGAATGAGTATCATCCCAACTTTCCCGGAGATGCTCAGCTGTGCATAGTAAGTTTCTGGGTTGTTTGACGAGCTCCATAGTGACCGGCATGGTGGGAGTGGGGGTGGGGTAGGCAACCAGTCTTACCTCACTTGTTCAGGCCCAAAGGATGTTGGATATTTGCCCAATAATAAATCTTCAAGGTTTCATAGCATATAAATATTATGCCATTATCAATCATATAAGTAATAACGAAGTCCCACCGAAAATAAGGAAAATAAATGTGCTGCAAGGCAGTATAGGTTAAATGGAGATGCTTGGCTTGTTGTTTGTCTCAGGTGTGGGGTGTGGCATGTGTGTGTATAGTTTTAAAAGTCAAGAACAAAATGAAGAGGTTTCAGCGTTGCTCCTGTGGCCTGGAGGAGAATCCTACAACAGCATAGGGTGACCAGCCATCTGCCACTTGGCCATTGTTGCTTTGTGTTTGGGCATGCTGATGACCACTGATTTCTGTGCCTGTGCCAGGGTTTCTCCACGATGCTCAGAAGACAAAAAGCTGGTTCGGTTTTCTTAGAGCAGCCTTTGTTCTCTTCATCCCGTTTTAAGATTTTCTTAGTTATTTATGTTCTTAGTTAGCATTTAATGCAAATGAGGTATGGCTTTTGCTATTATACAGATGTTGTAAAATTAGGTTATTTTGTGAGAATGCCTTCAAATTTGATTTACGTATTTCATTTATTTGCTTTTAACTTTTGAGATTATCATTAAATTTCACCCTTCCCCTTACTCTCTTGTTACCCTCCCATATACCTCTCTTCAATCTCCATGTTGTTGCATGCATATATATGTGTACATATATACCCGAACACACGTATGTCATTTAGGTACATTTATACATAAATATGTATTCCTAAGTATAACCTGTTTGGTCAGTGTAGTATTACTTGTATGTGTGTTTTCAGGGCTGACCATTTGTCACTGGACAAACAATCGGTGCACTCTTCCCTGGGGAGAAGCACCTCTCCCACTCCCAGCTCTCTCCAGTTGCCTATAATCTTTGTGTAGAGTTGATGTTTGTTTTGTGCTGGTGTTTGAGCCCAAAGTCTTGGCCATGCCAGCCTCACACTGTGCCGCTGCGCTACATCCAGCTCCAGTATTAGTTTTTAGTTTAGAAATTGAACACTCTTGTTTTAGTTTCTTCAGATTATATGTGCTTCATCTTAATGTGTCTGTCAAACAATTTGTCCATACAAGTTTTCCTTTTCATGATGGATACGTCCACATTTCTCTGCAGTGAAAATGGATTTGAAGAGGGAATAAGTACGCTGGGACTCGTGTCTGGTCTTGTTAGCGCCATGTGGTCAGTTGGGTAAGTGAATTCATTTGCACCTGCAAAGTGTTCTGCCTATGTTACAGATGGAAAATTGAAACACTAAGAAGGTATGTGAGGTTCTCTAAGTCAAAAACGTATGGAGGGCGGAGCAAGAATTCCAAGTCACAACCTGTGACCCAAAATCTAGTATGTCATCAGACTGTATACGAAACTAAGATACCTTCATGAACCTTGCTTTGAGCAATATGTAAAACTTCCTTTAACAGAAGCATATCCCAGACTTTTAAAATGCAATCCTTTATTGATTCAATTGCTTGCCTGTTGGCTTGTTTATGTACTTTCTAGAGACCAGACAATACACTGTATAGTAGCAATGTGGCACACACAGAGTCTATAACTATGCAGTGAACTGGTTCAGATATTAAGCCTAGAAAGAATAGAAGCCCAGTGAGATGACTGAGCAGGTAGGGCACTTGCCACACAAGCCTGGCCCGGCTCAATCCTGGGAACCCACATAAGGATGGAAAGAAAAAGAGAACCTGGGGGTTGGAGAGATGGCTCAGGGTTACGAACACTAGCTACTCTTCTAGAAATCCTGAGTTCAATTCCCAGCAACCACTAGGTGGCTCACAACCATCTGTAATGAGGTCTGGTGTCCTCTTCTGGTCTGCAGGCATACATGCAGACAGAACACTGTGTGCATAATAAATTAATAAATCTTAAAAAAAAGAAGAAGAAGAAGGAAGGAAGAGGAAACCTATTCCACAGCGTTTTCCTCTGCCTTTCTTATGGTACTGTTGCATGTACGCCTACCCACAAAACAGAAAGACTCTTAAACACGCGCTACTGTTTATTGTTATATAGTCACCCCCTTCACGGCAGCAATCCCACTCCACAATCGTTATTCTTTCTGTCTCCTCTTCTCTGCCCCCATCTCAGCACTCGACCAAAGTTAGGACCTTGCACACTGTGGGCACACCCAGGTCGAGAATCTCCCTATGTGTTTAGCCTTTATTGTTTTACTTTAAGGAAGACCAGAGGCTGGGGTGGGGGTGGGGTGGTCATACATCTTCATAAAGTTTTTGCACTGTTAGACACTCACCCACTGTTCTTTCCACTGTTAGTGCTTTCATGGGACCAATGCTGGGCGGATTTCTGTATGAGAAAATTGGTTTTGAGTGGGCAGCGGCTATACAAGGCCTGTGGGCTCTGATAAGTGTGAGTAACCCTGGGTTTGTATGAGTTTCCCTCCATTGCCTTATACTTTGCAGATATTTGCCTTGGAGGATTTACTTTAACAGTGCATTTCATTGTGTTAAAGGGACTTGCGATGGGCTTATTTTATCTCTGGGAGCACTCAAAGATGAGAAGAAGGTATGGTCAACTTCTGGGTTTTTTTTCCTCCTATAAGAAGCTAGAACATGAGAGTAGAAAAGGAATTTTATGCTCCATCCACTCTTGCTGTTAGATTTCTGGGAATCCTAAGACTTGTTGCTTGACAGGCAGGTCCAAGGAGGTGGAGATGTAGGTACTTAGAGTTTAGTTTTATTTTGTGGGGGGTGATGGGATGAGGTTTGTGATTGATTCTTTGTGTAGCCCTGGCTGTCCTAGAACTCAATCTGTAGACCAGGCTGTGTGAACTCTGAGATCCACCTGCCTCTATCCCTGAGTGCTGGGATTAAAGGCATGGTTTACCCAGCTGGCTGTGTTTAGTTTTCTTAAGCTGACTAGTACTGTTAATTTTTTTTTCCTCCTCACTGTAGATCTAAAGCTCAGAACCTCATTGGCACAGAGGAGGAACGAACTGCTCTATTGCCCAATGAAACCTAACCTTGCAGATGCTGGGTTGATGCAGACCAAGAGACCAGTACCTCGAGCTGTGTCAGCAGCTGCTGGAGGACCTTTCTGTGTGCCATGCAGGGGGCTGCGCTTTCTGCACTCATGCACCCTGGAAGTGTCAAGCTGCTTTTAGATGACCCTGCACTAGGCTGTGCTTAGTGTAGTCTGGAACATCTATGAGAAAGGGAAAACTGGTGTTTGTAAACAGCCCACCTTGCCCCTGAGGTGCTGTTATTGACTCTCTTCAGCATTCTTTTTTGTTTGTTTTTTCGAGACAGAGTTTCTCTGTGTAGCTTTGGAGCCTGTCTTGGAACTCACTCTATAGACCAGGCTGGCCTTAAACTCATAGAGATCCACCTGCCTCTGCCTCCCGAGTGCTGGGACTAAATGCATGTGCCACCAATGCCCGGCTCTCTTTAGCGTTCTTATTCTTGTGTTTGTTTTTTCATTCTAAGTACATCAATTCTACAAATGCACCCCTTAAAATTAATACATGAAAAAATGAAGCTACTTAATACACATTGAACATATGCAATAGAATGAATAATTTTATGAAATCAGTTTTGAAAAATGTGCTTTCTCTACACTGAGATTTTTTTAAATCTCCATTTAATAGGCAAGATTCCTGCCTGCCAGGGAAAACTTCTAGAGTGTTCCTTCATTTTCAGGTGTTCTAAAAATGTTTCTCTGGAAAAAAAAATAATACATGTAGTTTCCATTTTGTGACATTTTCAGATGTAATCTATATTTACAAAAATTATTTGGCATAACATTATTCATTTCCAATCTCAGTATCTCTTTGTTTTAGTCCCACAATTTATGGTGGCTTATTGTGCTTACTACTTTTCTTGGAAGATGTGATCCATCACTAGGTGGGGCCCACCCCCAGCTACTAGGATGTGCTGCACAGTGGAGGGTTACTCCCTCTAACTTCCTGTAAAAGCCTAGCTGTACTTGAAATGAGAATGTCAACTGTGTACCTCTTGATTAATTTTCTTATTTTAGCAGTTATATTTCTTTTCTAATAGAATAAATGACTTTTGTCTATCTATCCGTTGTTTTCATTCAAAACACTCTTTTTAAAACAATGTCTCAAGTATCCCAGGTTGGCCTGGAAACCATTGTAGCTAAGGACAACTTTGAACTCCTGATCCACCTGGTTGTAACGTCCCAATTGCTAGGACTGATATGCATGTGTCACCACCACACAGGGTACCCAGGGCCTTGGGTGTGCTGAACTATATAATTATTCCCTGAAATACCTTTTGAATTCTTTCTCAGGATCAACCCTGCATAGATGGGTACCAGGGACTTAATCTATGCCTTTATGCAGCATACACCAGTGGAAAGGGAAATAAGTACATAAATACCAGCATTTATATTTTGTAGTAACACTCAATAAAAAACAAATCATGTTGTAACAGAGCTACTGCTTGGTATTGATTATGTGTGGGGGATAATTTACACAAGCCCTCTTCATGGATGCGATACCTCTGAGCAGACATCTGGAGTGAAAATGAGACACTCATGGCCACAGCCCATTGGCAACACAGAAGATAAGAATGTGGTTCATTGATGAGTCTGGTATGCAAGATGTTGGCCGGATGAGGATGAGACAGCCAGCTTGGCAATGAGGCTGCTAGAATGGATGCCCCTTTTGTCAAGTTCTTTGAGTCTGTGTGTACAGTGGATGAGGATGGAGATGGAAGGAAAACTTTGAGAGGAAATAATGGTTTGGACCATGGAGGTAGCCTTAGTGATCAAGAGAGAAGCTATCCAGAAGTAGAAATGAAAGAATTGCTGCTTCGAGGAAGGGAAACGGATTCAAGGAGGTGTAAATCAGTTGGTTGTCTCCTTGCCTATAATGCATGATGCCCTGGGTTTGATCCCTAGCACTGCATAAAGCCGTATGCAGTGGCACACACCTGTAATCTTGTTATTTTGGGAGATGGAACAGGAGTTCAAGGTCATTCCTGGCTATATAGAGAGTTAATACCAGCTTGAGCTACAAGAGGCTGATATCCTGTGTGTGTGTGTGTGTGTGTGTGTGTGTGAGTGAGAATTGCCCATGGGTTACAATGTAATGGTTAAATACTTCTCTATTTCTTTTGAAAGTTTATCTAGGGGTGATTAGCCTATCTTTTTGCTTTTGGGAGAGCTCCTGCCCCTGGATTAGAGTTTATGTCAAAGGACAGCATCACAGTTTGAGCACATTTATTGACACTTGGGAGTTTCACATCATGCACCTCAGTTCTTCTCACCTCACAATCCCCTCATATCGCCCCCTCATCCCTGCCATGTCCCCCTCGAAAAAAACCAAAAACAAACAAAAAATGGACAAAGCAAGCAAGCAAAAGCAAAAGCAGAAAACCCTTAAAACACCAAACCCTAACAAAACAGAAAAATCTCTTTGCTTCTCCTTCTCTCCTGCCTCTCCAACATCTCTTCATTTGTCCTGGTGGCACTGGAAGCTTCAACGTGCCATATACAACCCCTTTGTCCCATCAGCTTGACTGGCAAATGTCTATTGCAATGAGTCTGGTTCAAGGCCTCTGGTTTCTGGTATACCATCATCACTGGATCCTCACCAGAACTCTTCTGGGATACCTTGTGGCTGTTCCGTGTCTTGGAGATCTTTCTGGTGTCATTCCATAGAATCGGTCACATGGAAATGATGTTAAATAATGAAATCTGGGCTGAATAGGACTTAAATTATTTACAGTACTGTATGTGGGTAGCGCAGAAGGAAAGCAATCAGAGAGGCTGATGGAGAGACCCTGTAAGAACAAGGGAAATGCATTTGGTGCGGTCTCGGCAAGACTGTTATGGGGCCAATCAATGTTTTCTCACTGGAACTGAGACCACTTCCCAAGTGGGAACTCCTATCTCATACTGTAAACCTGTTCAGATGCCCACGACTGTAGAAGTAACTGACCCTAGTGAGGAAACTACATTTGTTGCTTGTAATACAGATAAGTAAAAGACCCAACTGATATTTGGGTTCAACCTTCAAGCTAAAGACCAGAAAAGCAAAGCAGCTGGCCACGAGCTGTCACCTCTAGCTCAGGCTAAAAGGGCTGATCCATGCACAGGGTCTTTACCAAGTCTCAGACTGCTGCCTCTCAGTGTGGCTGGAGAATGAATGCCTCTCAGAGACCCTGCTTCTGTCTTAGATACTTCCCTAATGTTAGGGATTAAAGATGTGAGCTATAATTCTCTTTTAGACTGATTCAGTCTAGTGTGGATCTGAGTAGCTTTGGACTCACAGAGATCCATCCGTCTCTTAATCCTGAGTCCTAGGATTAAAGTTGCTACCAACACCTCCTAGCTTCTAGCTGCTGGGATTAAAGGTGTGTGCCTGGTTTCTGTGGCCTGTGGATGACTTTGCTTTCTGAATCGCCTGTCAAGCTTTAATAAGTCATAAATAATATGTCACTACAGTCGCTAAATGGAAATGATGAGCTGATCAAATCCCCTCTGAAAAACTGTATCTGCATAGATTGGTGCTGCTGGCAGCTTCAGTCAGAGAAGTTTCTTTTTAGAGTGGGCAGCAGTAATGGTAGAGACTCGTGATTGATCGAAACCCTGAGAATAACTGACAGTTGAATTTTTAGCCAGAAGTGGGACATCTGTATTACTGCAGCCTCAGCTCAGAGAATGGAAGCGGATGTAAAAGCAGGGGATGTAGTGAACTGTTGTGGAACACTATCTCCTATGGTGACATGACTGCTATATTCTTTTGTTAGTTTGGAGTTCAGCTCCAGCTGTCCCGGAATTCACTCTGTAGACCAGGCTGGCCTTGAACTCACAGAGATCCTCCTGCCTCTGTCTCCCAAGTGCTGGGATAAAGGTGCACCTTGATGCCTTGCTTGCACTCCTGAAGTCACAGAAGAAAAGATCACCTGCAAATGACCTTCGTAATACTGGGCCCATTGAGCCTGAATTGGGGGAACCTGAGACTCATAAGAGTCTCTTCTTCCCCAGGATCTAAAGGCAGTTAATGGTTACTGAGGGAGAAAGAGACATATTTTTTTTCTTTTCCAGTGGTGTAGCCACTGGTTAGGTACCCATACTCTTACAAAACAAAAAAAGAAAACAACCAAAAACAATGACATTCTTTGGGTAAGTTGGCTGAGTGGGTAAAGAGCCTGTGCCAAGTTTCACAACCCGAGTTTGATCCCTGGGAGCCACGCAACAGGCTTCACATATTGTCCTCTGACCGTCATGTAAGCACTGTGGTATACACTTACACACACACAGAAAAAAGAGACCAGGAAAGAATTAGAACAAAAGGTGTAAAAAGGAATGAGGAGCTGACAGTAACTAGACGAGAAAATGAAGCTGATCAGTGGGAGTGGGAGGGAGATGAGGGGAGGGTGACCGAGTGATCAAAATGCATGCACGCAGGTATTAGCTGGTCACAGTGAAGCTCAATATATGATATATGCAATTAGTATAAGCCAATAAAAGCATAAAATATACAAAAAATGTATTAGCAAAAAATAATTATGGGAATAAAGAAGAGATCTCATAGTGTATCTGAGAAAGGAAGGCTTGGAGAGTGCCAGCCAAGATTTTATTCTGAGGTTTCTCCTCCCCTTTTAAAATTTCTCTTACACATACACTCACACACAAAGAGACACTCATCTAACACACATACACACACAGACTTGTAAACACACACACACACACAAACACACACACACACACACACCTTTTGATTTGGGGATCAAAGCAGGTTCTTTACCACTGAGCAATGTCTCTAGCTCTTAATTCACATATTTAAAAGAACAATTACATTTATTTCAGTACAAAATTTAGAACTTTAAATTTCCGAACATTACAATAATCCAAACTGTCCTTGAAATTATGTATAAAGTCATTTTAAATAATCCCTATGGACAGTCCTGGTTCCTAATACAGGAAGTAAAGGGGTTATTGACCTTGCTGGAAACAAAATATTTATTTTGAGTGTCTATTGGTTTGTATATGATAGATACTGAAATATTTCCTGGAGTGAGAGATGGGGAAAATTCAGGGGAATTCCCATACCCTTTCCTCTGATTTTATTCAGAAAGTCAGGTGGGCCAAATAAGAATTTCAACATGAAATTTAAAATTCAGATTTTTTTCTTTTTGGGAATTCATCCTTAGATATTCCTTCTAGAGTGGATTTATGGATGTCATTTCTAGGCATAAAGATATGAGGGCTCTGAAATAAGATATAGCCAGTGGGAAGGTTTGTAAGACTCAAGGGGCTCTGAAACGTAGAATCAAGCTAAAGGGGGAGGGGGAGACACAGATTTCCAAAATTTGCAAATCCTTAATGAACATCATTTAAGAACCCTTAAAGATGGGCTGGAGAGTTGGGTCAGAGGTTAAGAACACTGGTTGTTCTTCCAGAGGTCCTGAGTTCAAATCCAAGCATTATGAAGGCTCACAGCCATCCATAATGAGATTTGGTGCCCTCTTCTGGCCTGCAGGGATGCATGCAGCAGAACACTGTATACATAATAAATAAATAAATATTTCAAAAAGAAATCTTTAAAAAAAAAGAAGAACCCTTAAAGAAATAACCAGTATTAATAATTCTGTAATCAGGCTTAAATCTTAAAAGAAAAGCTACCTTAAATCAACTCATATGCAAATGAAGGGATCATATTTATCTATCTATCTATGTATTTATTTATTTGATTTTAGAGACAAGGTTTCTCTGTGTAGCTTTGTAGATCAGTCTGGCCTAAAACTCACAGGGATCCACCTGCCTCTGCCTCCCAAATCCTGGGATTAAAGGTGTGCACCACCACTGCTCAGGGGGATTCAATTTAAAACCACGTAAAAAATATGCAGTTAACTAAGTAATTAGCATAGTTCACAGGTAATTTTTTTTTAAGTGGAAACATTTGAAAATGTCTTCCAATTGTTAATTTTATATCTGCGTACACCTCAGACTCATATCTGTTGCCTCCAAAGAGGAGATTTTAAGTAGAATTAGTATTACACCCATTTTATAATTATAGCTTATAATTATTAAATAGTAATTCTATTATTT